GGGGGGGGGGGTCCTGCTCACAGAGCTCCTCTGATTCCCGGGGGTGTCCCTGGGTCCTGCAGGTGGTCTCCTCACGGGCAAGTACAGGTACGAAGACAAGGACTCAGGCCAGCAGCCGGCCAGCAGGTTCTTTGGGAACGACTGGGCCGCCACCTACCGGGACAGGTACTCGCCCCTTTGCCAGAGTGGGGGGCACCTTCGGCGCACGGGGAGTAAGGACCTGCTCGCGGCTCTTCTGCTCTCAGGATTTCAACCTGGTTCTTGCGTGCCCGTTTTCGTTTTTGCCGATGCGCTCTTTAAGGGTGGGATAATTTTCCCCCACCGCGGCTTGGGTAGTTGTGCTTGAAATTGTTACTGTGTAAGAAGCGGATTGGAGGCCTTCTGCACACGCGTCGTTCCAATTTTTTAATGCCATCGGCAAAAAATATGTAAGATGCATTTATAAAATACCAAAGTGTGGAAACTTTTAGAAGACCCTTGAGGTTTTCTTACCTAATTCGTGCAATGTTCTTGCTTAAATAATTCGATCTCGGGCAGAAAGGTGCTTTAGCGACTGCAATGCGGTCGGTTTTGTAGTAACCGTGTTCCTGAGAGAAGCTGTTCTGTAGCCGTAGCCGAAGGTAACAGGAGACTTGCACTGGTGTGATTGTGGGTTGTGGGTAGCTTGTTTAAATGCTGTTGGATTGTTATGCTTTCCTGAGTTGTCTTTCCCCCGAAACACGGCAGGTACTGGAAGCCGCACCACTTCCAAGGGGTGGCTTTGGTCCAGAGTGCCCTCCGCGAGGCGTACGGCCCCGATCCCCCCAGCCTGACTTCTGCTGCCCTGCGCTGGATCTTCCACCACTCCAAGCTGCAGGTACCCGCGAGGGTCCCGGTGGGCCCCGGGCGGGGAGGCCCGCTTGCCCAGCCGAAATGGCACGGAGGACTCCGGGCAGGTCGTGGAGCAGAATGCAGGCCCGGGGGGCTCATCCAGCGCGCCAGAACGAGCGCTGAGGCCCTCGGGGCCTGCCGAGGGCTGCTCTGAAGCGGAGGCCAGCCCTCCCGGAAGGGGCTAAAATTCTCTGAGCGGGAGCTGGAGGAGTGGGCTGCTCCGCCTTGCTGGACTCCTGCGGTGTTCGTGAGAAATCCAGCAGGGGGCACCCCTCAGGGCACTGTGAGCCCCCTCATCCCCCGGCAGTCCTACTCTGCAGGGCCGTTGTGTGGGCTGTAACAGAATCGCCTCCCCTTCTGCCACCCAGTGCCTTCCAGACGGGTTGGGGCTACAACCCCCCTTCCCACTGCTCCCAGCCAGACCATGCTGCTGGGGCTGATGGGACTGGGAGTCAAGCAACAGCTCAATGGCCCCGAGTTGCCGGCTCGAACTGTCCGCGTGGATTCCCGAGTGGAAGGCTCCAAACAGCCCGTGCAGCTCATCCCCGCGGCTCACGGCCTGTGACGCGACACGGGTGCACTTCCCTCCTCCTCTTCCTCCTCCCAGGGCGAGTGCGGGGACGCGGTCATCATCGGGATGTCCAACCTGGACCAGCTGGAGGAGAACCTCCGGTGCAGCGAGGAGGGGCCCCTGCTCCCGGCCGTGGTGGAGGCGTTCCAGGACGCCTGGCGCCTCGTGGCCCACGAGTGCCCCAGCTACTTCCGCTGACGGGGGGGACCGTGCCCGAAGGGCAGCCCTGCTCCTGCAGGAACCTGGCCGAGAGGTCCTGCCCCCCGTCCCTGACGAAGAATCACCCGCACGGCCTTCACATGGAAGAGGCCTTTTTAGCCTGGAAATTCCCGTGATTTTCAATGCACAGAATCATCCAGCCCTGAATCCCCCCCAGCCTTCCCTGCCCTGCAGCAGTTGGAAAGGAGAATTGGAAGCCAGCGCTATGGTGGAAAACGCTGATTTTGCGGAAAATGCTGATTTCACTGAACTGATCCTTGGAGCTTATTTCAAACTCTGGAGCAGTTCTGTCTGTAGGATACATTTGCCAGAATAAAGCACTTCTTGAGCCGGTGGCTCTCTGGCGAGCGAGTGTTGGACTGAGCAACGCAAGGCTACGCAGAGGACTGCCACAGGGGGTGGCGTCTGCGTACCCCTTTCTCCCGCTAATTAGAACCGAACCCAGGTGGGGGAGGGACCGCCCCCGGCCGTTTGGGGAACCCTGACCCTGACCCAGTGCTGTCCAGAAAGCAGAACCAGAAGGGTGCTTCCCCCGTGGCCGTAGAAACCCTGCTTGCAGCCCAACAGCATCCAAACCGGCACAGATGCCCACCCTCGCCCCCGGCAAAGCCCAGGTCGGCCCCCGAGACAAACGCGGAGCCCCTTGTTCTTTCCGCCTCCCGCCGACAGTGGCTCTGTGGGGCCCCAGAAGAAGGAAAGACGATTCTCCCGCAGGAACCGAGGCCGGTCCCCCCTGGGCCCTTCACGCCTCGTCTGGACTCCCCCAGACGGTTCTTGGAGCACGCAAAGGAAACGAGGGGCTCCGCACGCTGCTCTTTTCACTTTTATGTGTCCTCGCGTCAGTAAGGTCCTTCAGCCCGGGCTGAGCCACGTGGGGGGGGGGGGGCAAGCAGCAGGCCTGACAGGCTGCCCCCCCTTGGGGCGCGGCAGGCCCTAGTCGCCCGCGCTCTCGTCCGACTCCACTTGCTCCCGCATCTCTTCCGCAGCGTCCTCCGCGTCTCGCACCAGCAGCTCCAGCTCTCCCGTCTCCGCGCTCCACACGCTCCGGATGGTCACCTTGAACTCCGCCATCGTGTAGCCGAAGAGTTTCTGCAAGAAAGGGCCGCGTGACCCCTTGGGACCGGCGCCTGCGCTTCGCTCGCTCCTCCGCCCCCGAGGGAGAGCGGGACCACGTGGGACGGGCACTCGGCGGGGTGCGGCTCTGGCGCGGCTTCATTCCAAGGATGTGGCGGCCACCCCTCGGCTTCCCCGCTCTCTTTGGGCTCAGCGGCAAATCGTACAGAAGATTGCCATGGGGGCCGCTGGAAAAGCCCGAAGCCCAAGAATGTCTGCGGTGGGGGACTTTGCTCTCGTGCCCGGCCCGGCCCGGCCCGCCTCCCTCCTTCCTGGCCTGCCCTTGGAATGCGGTGCCGGAACTCTTGACGGAACGTGACCCTTGGCCGGCAGGAAATCAGCTTGGATTAGGGGAGGAGGGGAAGTCTCCCTCAGCGCGGAAAAGATGGCCGATGTGAAGCCGGGGCAGGGATCTCATAGGGGGAAGCAACAAAGGCCCCTGCGGGAACGTCCCGGGGAGGAAACGGGCATCGGGAGTCGCTCACCAGAATACGGGCCTGATCGGGCGTCAGGGTGTCCCCCTCCTTGCAGACCTCGTAGTCGGAGAGGAGCATCACCACCCCTGCCAAGCAAGCGGGAGAAACGGAGATGAGAACCCGCCTCGCCGAGGCCCATGCACTCTTCCCAGAGGGGCCCGCCGCTGACCTTTCCGCAGCGCCGTTGGCAGGCCCAGCTGCCGCAGCTGGGGCTCCATGGAGTGGGGGAACTGCCCCAGCGGCCCCGCGTCCAGGCTCACAGCGAAGGCGGCCCTGTTCCCTGACCGGGCGAAGTCGCTCTCTCTGTACTGGGAGAACCACCTGCGAGGGGAAAAGGACGCAGGAGATTCAGAGAGATTCGCACAGCGCACACGTCCTCGTAGCAGAGGGAGGAACGAATACGCAGCCTCCCGGCCAGGGGGGAATCAACGGGCCTGGCACAGCCTGTGCTCAGCAGGCCGAGGGCCAGGTCTGGGGCACTCTGGCAATTTGGGAGGCTGCTGGGGGTACCGTCGCAAGATGGCTGCCGTGGGAGGCGGGCAAGGGATGCACAACCGTCCCTGAACCGGCGGCGGTGGGGGGCTGAGCCCGACTCGTCCCAGAGCTGCCCCGGAGGCTGCCTTTCCTCCGGCACCCGGAGAAACCGACCCATGCCGGGAAGTTCGCAGGGTCCCTCCCACGCCGAGTTGTGGCGCATGACCAACGGTGCCTCCTCCAACCTGGCGCTCTCCAGACGTTTTAGACTACGAGGCCCAGCCTTTGCGGCCATTGCCCACCGTGCTTGAGGCGGATGGGGGGTGAAGCCCAAAACACCCAGAGGGCACCACCTTGGGGTGCCGTGACCACGACGCATCATGCGGCAGCGGGAAACACTCACTCCGTGACCTCCTCCTTGGTGCGGTTGGTGAAAAGGAGGCCCACCTCTCCCTGGAGGTGCTTGCTGACCTGGCGAGCAGAGAGGAGAGGGGATTAGGAAATGGCCCCCGGAGCACTGAGGCCCCGCCGGGCTGGGAGCAAGACGGACATGCTGCAGCGGCTGGGGGCCCCACCTGGTGCAGGTTATCTTTGTATTCGTCCATCGGGCTCCGTCCAAGTGCCACCATCATCACCTTGTTCTTGCCAAAGAACATCCTGGAAGGAAAACCGGGCCTAGTGAGGACAGCCAGAGACGGACCCTCTCAAAGCGGTGTATTGCAGAGCTGTCGAGCTGGGGGGGGGGGTGTTTCAGGCCGACGAGTCCAGTCCCTGCTCGACACACCACAAGGCGGTGTGGCAGAGGCAGTCCGTCCCCCGACTCCGCCTGGCGCTTTTTTCGGTTCACAAACCACAGAGGTGCTCCCCAGCCCCCCCCGGGGGGGGGGGGGGGGCTCCCTTGATTTGTGGCCTGGCTGGCGCTTTTTAAACCCTCTCCTCATCCCAAGATAAACCCTTTTTGGGTATAAATCGTGCCCGAGCCCTTCTGGGTGAATCTAGATGGGGGGAGACGGATCTTGGGGGCCTGCCCCTCACCTGCTGTGCTTCCAGGCATTGCGAATATCCTTCAGTTTGTTGTTTCTCATGTTGGAGACGGAAAAAATAAAGAGAAATTTGTAGGTGTCCACACATTTCCGTAGCTGAGGGCAGAGAAGTTTGGACATCAGCATGTGATGGCAATGCATTCGCTAAAACAGGTGAGGAACAGGCGGTCGTCCAAACTGTGTGGGACTGAAATCCTTTACAGCAAGCTCTGCTGGCTGGGGCTGATGGGGTTTGCAGTCCAACAGCACCTGGAGGTCTGCACTGAGCCCGGGGACAAGTTGGTCTGGGGTTGGGCAAGTATTTGGAGCTGGTGGGTGCATTTAGCCAACCCACTGCCCTCTGGGAAACATGAAGGCCCAACGGTGGTGGTTATAACACATTTCTTTGCACCTCCCCAGCATACGTGATTCCTGTAGTCCAACCAGGAAACTTTGTGAGAGGGGAAAAAGAGATCCTTCAAGAGGGGGGTTATTCCAGCCCGAGATATAAAACAGAACCCTGCTTGCAAAACCACCCCCTTTCTAGCAACTCATTTTACGTGGGATTCTAAGATCAGCAGGCGGGGGAAGTCGCTTACCTCTTCGATCAAGTTCTGTTTCACTTCCAGCCCTTTCTTGGTGGTTTTTGTCAAGGAAACTGGAAGGAAAGAAGGAAGGAAGGGAAGGGTGCAGTTCAGTCTGAGGCAGCCCAGCAGGAGCATCCGGAGCGGCTTGCGGCAAGGGTCTTCCCGGCCCTAAGCAAACCCGGTGGTCCTGCTGCAGGCGAAGGGGCCACACGGGCGGACGGAGGGGCAAAGGGGCCCATCGCTCCGGGAGCGCGCAAGGGCCATGTCCGTGCTCCAGGGGAGCCACCGCCTGTGGGGAGAGGCTTGGGCGCCGGGGGGGGGGGCAGCTCCCCAGGAGGCGAGGGCGGGGAGGTGGTGGAGACCCTCCTCTCCCTCGCCGCCCCTGGGCCCCGCCGTGGGGCTGGGAGCGCCGGGGCCCCCGGGACGCGCCCCGCGAGGCCGGCAGCTCCGCCAGGGCGCCCGGCAGGCCCCTGCCCCTGCGCCGGTCTGTGCGCGTCCACCGTGGGAAACGGAGGAGCTGCCGAAAGAGTCGCCGCTGGGTGGCGCCGCAGGGGCCCCGCGACCCATCACGCGGGCGAGGCGGCCCCGAGATGGGGCTGCGGGTCCCGGCGGCCCGCGTGCGGCGGTGGCCGGCGATGGGGGCTCCGCTCGCGCGGTTCTCGCGGCCAGGGAGCCCCAAGAGCCGCGGCGGGAAGGGGGCTGTGCCCGCCGGTCCGCACCGCGAGTCCCGCCGCACGTATTGCTGGACTCGGGCTCTCATCATCCCCAGCGAGCAGGGGCGGTGAGCGGGAATGATGGGACCTGCCGGCCAAAAACACCTGCGAGGCGGAGCGTGGGCTCCTGGCCCCTGGCTGAGTGCAGCGCTCTCCAGATGACCTGAGCTGCGTCCCCCATCATTCGCAGCGCCCGGCTGGGGATGATCGGCGATGTAGCTCAGCTCATCTGGGGGGCGCAGGGAGGAAGGGAAACGGGAGGGCTGCTCCAGGGATGTCAACGCTCCGAACACACCAGCTCGGACTCCTTGAGGACTAGCGCCTTCACTCACCCTTCTTATCCCGCTTAGATTTCGGCATGTCGGACCAACACGCGCTTTCCTCCTGCGGCGGCGGCTGTGCTGCGAGGGCCGACGGGAAAGATTTAGGAGCCCGTGGAGGCGCCTGCTGTGTAGTTGGGCTAAGGGTCCCGCGTTCCTCTGTGGCTCCCCAGAGCCACGGAACCCCTCACGGCCCTTCGTTTCCGCCCCCAGTCGCAATTTTACACGGGTGGAAGGAGCGGCAAAATGAGTTTTCTTCCACGCAGGCGAACGACTAGACACCCTGCAGCGCCCGGCTTAGGAGGGGGCTTCGCACGGTTGGCCGCCTGGAACATAGAGCTACTAAAATTAGAGACATCCCAGTACTGGCTTTGCCAATATGGTATTTGGCACTCGCCACTAAAATCTTATCATACTATTTTTAAACCGCACAATAACTAATATCCCCCAGCGCGTGCTTCTCCCCCTCTTAGATCCGTTTACATAGCGGATCTGCCACTCTAACGATTTCCAAGGGAAGCGGGCGGGGTGCTGGACCCAGTGGACCTCGGAAGCTTCGTCCTCAGCCGGTCTTCTTCATTATTTGTCTCTATAGGGCAAAAGCCGCTCCGGGGTGCGGGATCTCGCTGGTGCCGCGGTGCCCGCTGGGAAGCCGGCGGCCGCTGCGGGGCCATCTTCTCGGCTGTCATGGCGGCGCCCTGGGCGGCCTTGCTGCTTCTCCGGCTCCTGCTCGTGCCCTCGCCGCCGCCGGCGGGCGCCGTGTACGAGGACCAAGTGGGCAAGTTCGACTGGTGAGCGACGGGCCGCCTGGCTCGGGCCGCGCCTGCGTGAAGCGCCCGCGGAGCTCCCCGCTGCGAGGGACGGGCGGAGCGGCCGTGGGCCCCAGGCCCTCCGGAGCGCTTGGACTGCAGCCCCCATCGGCCCCAGGCGGTCCGGGCTGAGGGAGGTTGGGGCTCAGCACATCTGGGAAGGCACAGGTTGGGAGGAGGCCAGTGAGGTGAACTCGAGGGGAGAGCGCGTGGTCCTGGACTTCAACTCCCATCAGTCCCAGCCGCCAGGGCCAAAGGTCGGGGATGCTGGGAGTTTTAGTTCCAGACATCTGGAAGGCTGGTCAGGGAAGGCTCCTGTAAGATGCCGTCCAGGAGTTTGTGGCTTAATCTTCCATTATCCCCAGCTTGCAGGGAGGATGGGAATCCAAACTGGGGAAGGCTGCTTTGGAGCAGGGTGCACCGAAAAATGCTGGTCTCCAGATGCTTTTAACCACAAATTTTGCTGTTCCTGTCTAGCCATTGACAGGGTGTCTGGGAGGCCGAAGTATTTGGCAAACTATCTTCTGCCCGTGCTTCATTTAGAGGCGCTTCCCTTCCGTTAATGCTCTAGAGATGCCCGGACTACAATTCACTGCATTCTTGTCCCTTGCACACAGTGGGCCCGGAACTGATGGGAGGAAGGCTCCCCACATGGACCTGGGGGTCTGCCGCCTGCTCTCTGCCCACGCCTGTCTTACACCACATTGCAGGCCAGGGTGCACCGCAGAGCAGGAAGTAACACCAGCGCGGCCCTGTCTCTGTTTTCTCCTAGGAGGCAGCAATATGTGGGCAAGATCAAGTTTGTTTCTTTGGAATCCTCCCAGGGCTCCAAAAAGCTCATTGTGGCCACAGAGAAGAACGTAATGGCCGCTCTGAATTCCAGGACAGGCGACATCCGTAAGTGCCCTCTTGTATTGTCTCCCCTGCTATGGACACGCAGGACATGCGTGTTTTTAAGTTGCTTCCGCTTCTGCTTCTTTCTACGTTAACGATGCCCGAAGGATCTGCAGATAACTGTGGCAGTGCGGAGTGTTTCTGTTCCAGCTATTCAGTTGCTTCCTTACCCCACGACAATCAGCATTCTGCCAGGCTTCATCAGGCCGTTATGGCCCATTGCTGTCCTTTTAGGGGTTTATTCCAAGTATTTTCTCTGTAGTATTGTGAAACTGTTGTGAGTTCATGGGCTCTGGTCCCATTCCGAACTAAAAGCTTTGCTGTGTAATTGCGTTTTATTTTGCTCAATTGCTGAAACGGTCTGAGTGGCTTGCAGAGATTAAAACTGCCTTGTAAAGACCAGATGCGTGCAAACATAGAAACAGGAGAAAGAAACAACATACGGAGAATTGCACATGTATCGAAAAACAATTTAAAACAAGAAAGATTCAAGTCCTGATTAAAATCTCACACTGGAGTAAGCCTCGAGAGGTATTTTGAGAATGAGTGAGAAATGGTAACAGAGGAGCCAGCCCTTGCCAGCAAGGATGGGCTGCTGGGGAACCTGGGCGGCTTCCTGTATTCATCCGACCCTTGTTCCTTTTCGCAGTGTGGCGCCACGTGGACAAGGGAACTCCTGAGGGAGCGGTGGATGCTATGCTGATCCACGGGCAAGGTGAGCGAACCCTCTGCCAATGGCCTGCGTCACTGACGGTTACTGGAGAAAGGTCTCTGGGTTCGCTGGAATAATTTGCAACAGTCATTTCCCCAACAGTTGTTTTCCTAGGGAAAAGATGTCAGCATCCAAAGGGTTATCTGGATGGGGTGGGGGAAGAGCGCTCTGAGCCTGGAGCTGGCAAGTGGGGCTCCTGTCTCCTTTTGCAGCCGGTATGGAGAGAACCACACTGGGTCTTCCCTGAGGTCAGGGAGACAACCCTGGAGGAGGAGTAAAGGGGGTGTTTGGGGGGCAAGAAGGGGGGGAGACAGGGTGGGCTTGGAGGAACGGGCTTCTGCACCTACTCCAGCCTCCTTCCTGCCCCCTGGAATGTCCCAGCCGGCTGGCTGAAAATGGCCACCAAGCCAACACGGCAGCAGCGGTCATGGCGCTGCTGCTGCTGCCCCCCACCGGATGCCCGCAGCCTTCCAAGTCCTCCAGCTCAAGGGCACCTTCACTGCATTGCACCCGAGTATTGTGGGGCTCGCAACTCAACAGCTGCTCGTCTTTTCCACGCACCGCCTGCTCCAAAGACGCCATCACGGTGTCCAACGGGGGCCGCATTCTGCGCTCTTGGGAGACCAACATCGGAGGCTTGAACTGGGAGATTTCGATGGACGCGGGCAGGTGAGTGTTCCTGGAGGGGGACTGTGTGTGATGCGGGGCCGGCTCACATCCATCCGGGGCTCTTCAAAACCTTGTTTTCCTGCTCCGCTGTAAGTTTCCAGATGGCTGGTTTGGTGGGAGTGCAAGATGCTGTGAAATACGTGGCGGTGCTGAAGAAAGGCTTCCTCTCACTTCACTATCTCTCCAACGGTCACCAGAAGTGGGCAGAGCCTTTGCCGGACAGGTAGGCAATCGGGGGTCTTGCAAAGAGCCTCGCTCCCGAAGCAGCCCGGGAGCCTTGGAAGCAAAGCCCAGCCATAGATGTGGGCCTGGTCTGTTCAGGGCTTCACTCGTAGCACAGGAAGAACAGCCAGGGCCTGAACAGCAGGCGGTGAGCTCTCGTCCCTGTCTTGGGAGAGGAAATGGCAGAGACCTTGCTTGCCTCTGGGAGACAGACTTAAGTCGGGGGCTGTTTTGCCTTGCGAGAGAGCAGCTGTGGGCAGACCTGAGGCCTCTTGATGAACGCACGAGACGCACTGAAGGATTTAGCGGGATTGGCAGCGCCGGAAAAGCTGGAGCTTTTCGCAGAGGCCGGTCAAGTGATGGTCCTGCTCCTGGCCGGAGCCACTTCGGGCTCTCCCCTGAGAAGCGAACTTCTAGGATAGAGAACGTGCCTCCGTCTCAGCATCCCGCTGCCTTAGTTGACTCTGACTTTCCTCGCCAGTGAGAATGTCGCGTATCAGCTGGTGTATTCGCACGGGGCGGGGACGGTGCACTGTGTCGGGGCCGCTGCTCGGAGCCACATCAGTGTCCTCACCTTCAGTGCTGAGGATGGAGAACTTGCCAGACAGGTAGGGCAGGAGTCTCGCTCAGAATTTGGTCTCTTTTCCACCTCCAGTGCACACCTGGATCAACACAGAACGTGGCAAGTTTATTGGAAGACTGTGGGGTTGCTGAGCAGGGAAGAGGGCGTTTGAGAATTTACACATCTAAAACTTCATTTCTGCTTGGGCTTCTCTAGTGAGCCTCATGGAACTAAACAAGATGTCCCCAATTAAGCAGCCGTTTTCTTTCATTTTCGTACAAGTGTTTATCGCCTTTTCAGTGCAAGATTCGGACCACCCTGGACTTAATGGAGTTTAACGGCAGGGGGTGGGGCATGTCCGTCTGCTGTCTTTCCACCTTGTCCGGGGTTCTGATTAGAATGATCTTTAGCTGTTTGAAGAGCTTGACACTTTGGTCATTGAAAATTGAACAGGCTTATACCCGGAGCGTACGTTGCAGTGAAGCTGTGGCCGGGCAGGATCTCGCGGAGGGCGTTGTGTTCTTGTGTGGGCAGGAGCCTCTAAGCGGACGACGGGTGTTGGGGCTGTTTGCATCGGACGCTGGGCCTGTGAAGCCACCCGGCCTGGGAGCGAGCCATGGGTACTTGGCTCCAGCTGTCCAGTCCCTCAGCGCTTCTCTCTCTGCCCTCTGCAGGCCCGGGTGGTGGCCCCTTGGGTGCAGAAGCTGAGCGGGGCCTGCGGCGTGGTAGGCGAGGGCGTGCTCGTGTGTGCGGACGAGGCCACCCACTCGCTCCACACCCTGCCTCTGGGTGCTGGGGAGGAGGCAAAGCAGGTGGCGCTGCAGGTAAGGGGCCCGGGAAGGGGCGGGGGCTCCTGGAAGCCCAGCTTTGACTCTCCGTGCGGACCAGCTCGGGGCTGTGAACATCTTTCCCGAACTTCAGGCCGAGGAGATGTATTGCTGGGCTCCCTGGCATGTCGTCCGTGGGAACCTTTCTCGCTGCTCTCCCCGCATTTTTTACCTTAAGTTATTCTTCTTTAACTGGGAGGCTTCTTTGCCTAGCCTGGAAAAGCCCGGGCCACGTGCTCCTCCTGGTGCCCCGGAATGCGTCTTCAGCTCCCAGCTGGGTGTTTCGCGGCCTCCTTCCACCACCACGCCGGGCTGTGCTGCCTCGGCCTCCCTGGCCAACTGACCTGCCCTCCCGCTCTTTCCCTCCGCAGTCTCTCGGCCTCGAGTTTGCCAGTGGCTTCCGGCCCCACCTGCTGCCCACTCATCCCAGTCCGGCCGGCGCCTCCCGGGCCCAGTTCTTCCTGCAGCTGGCCCCAAGCCACTTCGCCCTGCTGCAGTATCGGAACGGCATGCTCAGCCTCCTCCGGGACTTCCCCCAGGTGAGGGGGAGCAGGGTGGGGGTGTTACAGGAAGGGTGCTCGCTCCGGGACACGGCCCTGGTTCCATCGCTGGAAAGTGCTTCCTGCAGGGCGCTTCCTCCTCACCTGCGGAGTCCTCGAGCGGCGGAGGACCGTCGGTCTGTCCAGGCCCCCGCTCTGCCCAAAGGCAGCCGCTGCAGCGTGCTCAGCCCAGCCAGGGCTCAGTGTCAGGCGTTCCCACCCGGGGCGGAGCTCACCAAAGCCAGGCCTGCCCAGTCGGTGGCCCCGAAAGGCTCAAGTGAGTGAGCCAAGCTGTGTGTGACAGGACATAAACAACCCAGGTATTCTGACGAGGTGAACACCTGGACTCCAGGCTGCAGTTCCTCAGGCTTGTTGCAGGACGTGTGCCTCTTTGAATGCTTGCCGTTCGTGGGTGGGGAATGCCCACACCAGGGAAACTGCACTGCAGGGAGAGAGGCTGGCAGGAGCTCTTCTCCCTGGCTCTCTAGATTTCCACGTGCAAAGAGTCTCGATGGGGGCGGTCACGGCTTGGTGGGCAGCCTGTCCTTCTCCACCCTGCTGCCTGCAGGTCTTAGGTGGGCCGGGCCTGGCACAGCTTCGCCGCTCCCTCTTTGTCACTGACAACCTGGCCTTCTGTCAGCTGGGGAAGGCTTTGTTGGAGGGCAGCCCCACACTGCCCGACTTCCTGCTTCTGGTTTCCTGTGCAGTGTTTCTTTCTCCTATTTTTTTAAAAATGCTTTTAATGTTTTCTCAAAATAGATAGCATGCAGAAAGAAAAGGGTATAAAAAACAAAACCACCAAGGGATTTCAAAGAAATATAACTAATACATTCATAACCTGCACATTTCCAAAAGGACCAAAAATTTCTAACTTTCTGTCAGTCAATACTCTGTTGAAGCTCAAAAAGAACGATTTCCAATCAATTATGAATCATCAACATTTTAACAAGCCTTTTCCTTCTCTCCTCCCTTCCTCCCTCCCTTCCTTCCTGTGCCGTTTCCCCAGGTCAGCCTGGTGACCTTTGCAACCACCAGTGAGAAGACGGTTGCTGCAGTCCTCACCTGCAAAGGTGAAGCGGTGAGTGCAGGCAGACCGTGGCAGGTGAACTCTGTGGCCCGGTGTGTCCTTGAATCGTGCAGCATCAGTTGAGATCGAAAGCTTCCACCTGGCTCTTGTGTCTGAATGGGGTCACTGTGGTGTATGTGAAGTGCGAGGAGTTAAAAACAAACCAGGATCGGGCCACGCTTTAGTATCCTGGTTTGGTAATTGACCACAGTCGTGACAAACCAGTTTTCAGAGTTTGGGAGAAGCAGGGAAGGATGCTTAAGCAGTGCTCCATGATCTCTGCTCCCCATGCTCCGAGGAGGAGGTCTGCACTCCCCCCTCACGTGGGTAACCAGCTTCCAGTCCTGTCTGCCCTGCTGATGAAGCACATGGCTTGCAAAGTGGGGGGGGGGGGGATTAACGGCTTTTCCCGGAACGCAGCCACCTTCCCGCCTCGAGCAAGAGAGTCTGTTCTCCCGAGACAGACCCGTTTTGCAAATCTCCGCCATTTGATGGCATCCAATGACCCAATAGGAGGCCTCGACCTGCCGCAACCAGTCCTATACGATCAACTTGTACTTGGCCGAAACCGGGCAGAGATTGCTGGATACCGTCATCTCGTTCACCTTGGAGAAAAGCAGTACCAAGCCTGAGCAGGTAAGCGGCTGGCGGCCTTTCTGGACGTGTTCGGCACGAGGAAGTGCAACCGGCCTTCAGGGATCAGGGCTGCTGCTTCTCAACTGACGGGCCCTTCCGGTCTGTGCACCCGCCTTTCCCAGCCCGGCCGCCGGGCCCGCTTTCTCGTGCCAGGCCGATCCACGCTCTGGCGTTACACGCGGCAGCCTGCACCGCTTCCCTCTGGAGCGGCTGCCAGGAGATCCGAAGCGTTTGTTCCCAGCATCAGCCGTCGATGCCTGGTTAAATCCGAACCAGGATTCCCCACAGTGACTTGTGCAAACGAGCCATGATCACTCACTACAGTTTGAAGTTGACTTGTCTGGACCAACCAAAGTTAAAACTAGGCAAGGCTACTTCTGGCCGGACACGACCAGCAACCTCGAACTTCTCCTTTTGGCCTGCAAGTGATTCATATTCTGGAGCAACCGCCATCCGTCTCTCTCCTCTCCTTTCGCAGCTTTACATCCAGGTCTTTCTGAAGAAGGACGACTCGGTGGGCTACCGGGCGCTGGTCCAGACCGCGGATCATATGCTCCTCTTCCTGCAGCAGCCGGGTGAGTCTCTCCCCGTGCAGCTCGGCGCGCGGCCCCCGGGTTGTGGCTGGCCAGCCGCAGCGGGAACAGGATGCCGAATGGGCCAAGGGCATTTGGCAGGGGGTCTGAGGAACCTGAGCTGTGCTGGGGGCAGGACCTCAGGCCCGGTGCTGGCTCTTCCCAGCCGAAATCCCTCACGTGTCCAGACAGGAAAAAGCCCTGCGCCTCCCGGCATTTCCCAGCCGGCTTCGCCACAGGGAATGCTGGGAAGCCCAGAGCTTTTTGCCCGGGAAATGCCGGCAGCTGCGAGGGTTTCTCCCGGCGCGAGCGGGCCCAGGCTGGGTTCCTCCTCGTGGTGCTGGCGGGGAGCAGAGCTCCTGCTGCAGGCAGAGTTCTGTCCAGAGCTCCCCCTCAGCCCCTGTGCGGCACGCCGGGCTTCTGCGTGATTCCCTGGCCTGCTTTCCCGGGGAAAAGCACAGGCAGCCTGGGGCAGACCGGGAAGTCATGCTCCGGCCTGCCCCGTGCCTCTCGCCCTCTGCAGGGAAGGTTCTCTGGAGCAGAGAGGAGTCTCTGGCTGAGGTGGTTGCCTTGCAGATGGTGGACCTCCCGCTCACGGGTGCCCAGGCAGAGCTGGAGGGCGAATTTGGAAAGAAAGCAGGTGAGGGCGGCCGTCCCGGGGGACCCTCGGCTGGGGCCGTGGCTGGCCGCCCAGCCTTGGAAAGGACGCTGGACTCGTTCGGTGGGCAAGTTGCCCAAGAGCGGCCAGGTCACAGTCGGGCGGCGGGGCCACCGGCCTGCAGCCCAAAGCGTGGCGGTGTTGAAGCGGCTCAGACTGCCGTGGACCGGACTGGCGTGGCCAGGGAAGGAGACGCAGCCACGGGGGCTTCTTTTCCACGCTTGGCGTGTGCCAGGTCAACAGTGCCTTGTTTCTCTCGTGATTTGATGTTGAGTTTGAGAAACTGCCCGTTCCTACACGCTCTGGGCACTTTCCAAGGAATGAGCAGAATCGCATGTGGGTTGTTGTGTTGTCTCAACCCGGAGAAGGAGGAAGGCGGTGGGGGGCAGTCCAGACCCTCCACTCCACGCCCTGTCCTGGGGTTCTGGTCAGTTCAGCAGCCCCCTTCGCAGTGGCAAGTGGCCCGCACACACAGGGGGGCGGGCGGTGGCAGAAAGGCCTCTTGACCTTGAATGCGGCCAGGATGTTCTTTGGAAGCCGCTGCCCCTGTGAATTCGTGGTGCCTCGGGGGGGGGGGCCCTCCCCCCCTTTTTGGGGGGGGGCCAGGGAGGGGGGGGGGGGGGCGGTTAGGGAGCTGTGATTGGCTGCTGACCCTCCTCCTCCAGCTTTTTTTTGGCCTGAAAGAATAAATTTGAATTGCCTCGTGCTTTTTTCTTTTGCTTTGCTGCCTGGGATCCAGCAATTCAAGGTAACTCCTTGCTTTTGTTGACCAGTTTTGCTGTGGAGGCACTTGAGTGTGAGAGAGAGTGTGTGTGTGTGAGTGAGCGAGATAGAGATTTACGTCGCCAGCATTCAGACAGAAGCAAACTGCAAACTTTAAATGGGATTTTGACTTAATACTAGCAGACCATCTTTTCATTCAATGGGACCGAAGACCTGTGCGCAGAGTCTCTGCTCTGAGCTTTGCATAGCAAGCCACCTAATCCACGCAGAATTCGCAAGTCCATGGAGCGAGCGTGTCCGTCCTGCGGAGGAGGGACCGCAGCTCGGGGGGAAGCGCAGCTCTTGCTCGCAGAAGGGCCCGGGTGTGACGTCCGGCTTCTCGGGGTGGGGCTTGGGACGAGGCTGCGTGGCCCCCCGAGGGCGCTGCCCGTGGGTGCTCCCGGTGGCTTTCGGCGCCGTTGCCCGGCAGGCGGTCTCTGAGGGTCCTCCCTGTGTCCCCCAGACGGCCTGCTGGCCATGCTGCTGAAGCGCCTCTCCTCCCAGCTCATCCTGCTGCAGGCCTGGACGGCGCACCTGTGGAAGATGTTCTACGACGCCCGCAAGCCCCGCAGCCAGATCCGAAATGAGGTCAGCGTCGACACCCTGGCCCGGGACGAGTTCAGCCTGCAGAAGATGATTGTGATGGTCACTGCCGCCGGGAAGGTGGGAACGGGGAGCCGCGGGTGCCGGATCCCTGGGGAAGCGGGGGTCTGGCTGGGTCAGGCCAGCCTCGCCAGCTGCTGCGACTGTCAGCAGGATGCGGACAGGGAGGGAGGAGACGCCCCTTCCCCCAGGGGTGCTTGTCTCTTGGGGGGCACAGCTGGGCTAGACCAGGACGGGGAGAGGAGCTCTGGGGAACCGGGCGGGTGCCCCCTCAGCTCTCGCGCACCCCGCCTCGGGTGAATGGGAGCTGCAGTCTGCTGGCGCTGGGCAGGGTGGGAATGTTCCCCCCCGAGACAGGTGACTGAACGCCCAAGCGTCTGCCTGGGGGGCTCCTGGGCGGCCTTCCGCACCAGCTGCGCTCACGCCCGCTCACTGCCGCCCTTGCCCAGCTCTTCGGCATCGAGAGCCGCTCCGGGACGGTCCTGTGGAAGCAGTACCTGCAGGGCGTGCGGCCCGGCTCCTCCTTCAAGCTGCTGGTGCAGAGGACGACGGCCCATTTCCCCCACCCGCCGCAGTGCACCCTGCTGGTCAAGGACAAGGTACAGAGCCCCCCCCCCCCCCCCCCAACCCCCCCCTGCCGGGAGCCGCTTTGTGCACACTCAGGAGGCACGGGAGTCGAAAGGAGCGGCAGCGCCTTGGGCTGGGGGCTTCGGGCGCGCATTCGGGTGCCGGGCGAGGTGCGCTCGGGGGCTTGGGGCAGGGCTGGGTGCACGAGGCCGCGCGTCCCAGGGCCGTGTCCGTCCCTTCCCGCCAGGAGAGCGGGGCAAGCTCCCTCTACGTCTTCAACCCCATCTTCGGGAGGAGGAGCCAGGTGGCCCCCCCGGCGCTGGACCGGCCCGTCCTCCAGTCGCTGCTGCTCCCCATCATGGACCAGGACTACGCCAAGGTGCTGCTGCTCATCGACGACGAGTACAAGGTGCGCCCCCCCCCCGCGGCCCCCATCCCCGGGCGTGCGTTGCTCCGCAGGACAGCCGCCTGGAATTGTGCGCTCCCTCCCTCTCCTGCCCAGGTGACAGCGTTTCCCACAACAAGGAATGTTCTCCGGCAGCTGGAAGAAGTGGCCCCTTCCATCTCGTTTTATCTAGCGGACACTGCGCAGGGCAAGCTGATGGGGCGGCGGCTGCGGAAGGTACGGGGCCGCTGTGCCCAGCCTTGCCCGCTGCTGCGGGGGGGTCTGTGCTGGCCGTTCGCTTCGGGCTCCCTCCCCGCACGCGGGCCTCTCCCGGCAGGCTTCGGAGAGCTTCCTGCGTGGGCCGTGTCGCGCCGTTGCGGTGCAAGCGGCGCGGGCCAGGGCTGAGCAAACGAGCGCACGCTTGCTCAGGGGAGGTGCTGGGCACCGCGCTCGCAGCAGGCCTCGGACTGTGCCCCTCGCCGGGGCGGGCTTGCGATGCGTCGGCCCGAGACTTACAGCCCGCTTTCCTTGGCTGGGTCGCAGGACCTGACGACGGAAGAGAGCTGGGAGATCAGCATCCCACCCGACGTGCAGCGGATCGTGGCCGTGAAGGGCAAGCGGGCCAACGAGCACGTCCACTCCCAGGGCCGGGTGATGGGGGACCGCAGCGTGCTGTACAAGGTAGGGGGGCCTTTCGCAGGGAGAGTGCCGGGCAAGCGCCTTCTGACCAACTCCTGGCGCTGGGGACCCTGGGCCAGCACCCCGCCATGCCATTTCCTGGCTCCTCCCCGTCCCCCAAGCCGCCTGCCAGGCCTGGAGCCCCAAGGCGGCTCCTGGCCAGAGCAGGGGTGCTGCCCCTCTTGCAGGCCAAGGCTGAATTCTGCTCGAGCGAAGGGCTGGGGCCCCTTCCAGGTGGGCAGAGCCCAGGCGCCCGCGTTTAGCTTAAAACCTCGCGGGAGCCGGGGAACTGCCCAGTGGCGGGGGGGGCGTGGGGGGGGGGGGGGGAGCGCCCCGCCCCGCCGGGGGGGGGCCGCGCCCCCCCCCGCCCCCCGGCCCCCCCCCCCCCCGAGAGCACCAGGCCCTCAGGTCCAGAGGAGGGAGCTGGGGAGGGGAGTTGGCCCGCGGGACCCGTGTGGCCTGCAGCCGTTGCCTCTCCGCAGTCGCTGAACCCGAACCTGCTGGCGGTGGTGACGGAGAGCACGGACACCCACCAGGAGCGGACCTTCATCGGGATATACCTGATCGACGGCGTCACTGGCCGCATCATCCACTCCTCTGTGCAGAGGAAGGCCAAGGGACCCGTGCACATCGTACACTCGGAGAACTGGGTGGTGGTAAGCAGAGGCCGAGGCGGTGGCTGCCTCGCCCTTCCCAGGCCGCTCAAGGCCTCTGCGGGGGGGGCTGGGGGAAGGAGGGGACAGCTGCCAGCGCGTCCCCCTTGACTTGGGGACCTTGCTCTGCACATACACACCGGGTGCTGGGGGAACCCTTGCGGGGCAGCACCAGCCAGCGGGCCGGACCTCCCACTTGGCCCACCCACGGAGCCTCCTTGGGTCCCCCCCCCCCCCCGTCGTCGCCACTCTCACCTTCCCCCTGGGACCACGTGCCCCCGTTCCGGTTAGCGGCTGGAAGCTGGCCTGCACTTCCCAGGCAAGGCAGGGGTCGCGTGATGAGCAGCCCCCGGCGAATATGGGGCTCTTCCGGCTCTGCTCCCGTTTCCTCTCCTCCCCGCAGCCTGGGACAGACCTCCTTTCTGCCTCCTGGCCTTTGACTGCCGGGGAGCCCTCTTCTCACAGAGCTCCTTTCTCAGAGTTTCGCTTTTGGTCCACCTCACCGTCTCGCTTTCCTTCCCGCGTTTCGGTTTTGTGCGAAGCGAACGGTCTTCCTTTCCGTCTTCCCCTCTCTGCCCGCCCGCCCGCCCGCCCGGGAGAGATCTCCCGTGCTGGTCCCCCCGGCTTGCCACTCTGCGCGCGGAAGGTCGCCTCCCCCTTCAGTGCCACTCTCGGCTCCCGCGCTCGCCTCGCTGAGACGTGCCCCTCTCCCGGCAGTACCAGTACTGGAACGCCAAGGCCCGCCGCAACGAGTTCACCGTGCTGGAGCTGTACGAGGGCACCGAGCAGTACAACGCCACCGCCTTCAGCTCGCTCGACCGGCCGCTGCTGCCGCAGGTCCTCCAGCAGTCCTACATCTTCCCCTCGGCCATCAGCGCCATGGAGGCCACCATCACGGAGCAGGGCATCACCAGCCGGCACTTGCTGAGTTACGGAGCGGGGCGGGAGGGGGGCCTCGCCTCCGCGGGCCTCCGCGCGTGCTGGGCCACCGCCTCGCTGCGTCCGAGATCCAGGCGGCCGTCCTGGCTAGCGGTGCCGTTCGGAAGCGGGAAGCCCGGCGGGCTGAGGCAGCAAACGCTCTCCTGGGACCATTTGCCAGGATGCTGCAGCGATAAATTTTGGAAGGGGAAGCGGGACATTCGAGTGCAGCATCCCCGCCGCGGCTCTCCATCCTTCCTGGGCTTTGCCCGAAGCCACAAAAGTGCTCGTCCCGCAGCCCTGGCGGGGGGAGGGGGTGCTCTCAGCTTCCAAGCCCCAGCGGGAGGTTGTCTGGGAGGATGTCCTGGGTGGACGCGCCCGATTCCTTGTTGCACAGGTGCCGCTTGTCATGGCTCGCCCAGCCCTGTCCTTCAGGCGCCTCTTTCGCACATGAGGCGGCGCATGCGGTGGGTGTGCTAATGCGTTTCCCCTGCCTGTCTGTTTTCCTTCAATGTACAGTTGGGCTTCCCTCCGGGGCGATCCTCTCGCTCCCCAAGGCTTTGCTGGATCCACGGCGGCCGGAAATCCCAACGGAACAAACGAGGTGAGTTGCCCCAGCCACCCTCCTTCTCAGGCCGAAGCGACCACGTGCCAAGCCAGCACAATTAGCTCAGCGCAGGAATTGAGGAATGTCGGGAGTCGCTTTCTCCCAGGCGGGAGAACGACGTCCCTCTAGCCCAGTATGACCCGCTTGGGCCGGCGGCAGCCCCCCGGGGCCCAGTCCAAGATTGCTCCAGTTACTGGGCAGTGGAGAGGTGCCAGAGAGCGATTTAACTTCCTGCCCTTCTGTGGCGTTTTCAGGGAAGAAAACCTGATCCCGTATTCCCCAGACGTGCAGATCCATGCCGAGAGGTTCATCAACTACAACCAGACCGTCTCCCGGATGAGGGGCATTTACACCGCCCCGTCAGGCCTCGAGTCCACGTGCCTGGTGAGCCCCTTCGAACCCTCTGTCTGTCTCTCTGTCTGTCTCTCTGCAAAGGTGCTTTCATATGCAGGGTGGTGCTGGCAGGAGGTTTTATGTCTCCAATCGACAGCTTGTCTCTCTGCCCCAATGCGGCGCTCTGGGGAGCGTAAGCATAAAATCTTTCTTACTTAAAAACCAGCACAAAACCAGGACTCAAAAGCCCGATAATGCAACTCGGCCAGCTCAAACCGCCTTCAGCAGCAGGCCCACTCCGGTGCCAACAGCCGGTCCGGATAAAACCCCCTTTGCCGGCTGTTGGAAGACGAAGAAAAGAGGCCAAGCTGACCTCTGGCAGGGAATTCCAGAGCCTGGGGACAGACATTCCTGAGGCTCTTCCTCGCACCCCCTTCAAGCATGTCTCCAGCGGCGGTTGATCCCAGAGAAAAGGCCTTACTAAGAGTGACTCGGATCCGTTAACGGAGGGTGGTTGGGTCCGCCAGGGCTGTTCCCACAACGGTGCAGCCCGGAGGAGGGCCCTCCTTCAGGGTTGTGAGAGCATGTGACCGCTTGAGCACCCCCACAAAACGGCTGCCCAAAAGTACAAGATAGAGGCAGGGCTGAGCAGCAGCATGCAGACCCTGCTGGTTCAGCATCAAGAGGAATCCATCTCACAGCTGCCGGGAAGAGCTTGTGCTCATCTGAAAGAGAGAGTGGTGGGTCGTGAGCGCCAAGGAAGGGTGGCCCGCTTTGAGAGAGGAGGGGAGAGGGTGGGATATTAACGCCTTCATGGTAATGCATAGGTGGCCTCGCGCGCGCCCGGCTGCCGTCACCGAAAGGTGAAGTACCACTCAGCCAGCCGTGGCTTCTCCCACTCTCCCCGGCCCGCTGCAGGTTGTGGCGTATGGGCTGGACATCTACCAGACCCGTGTCTACCCGTCCAAGCAGTTCGACGTCCTGAAAGATGACTACGATTACATCCTGATCAGCAGCGTGCTTTTCGGGCTGGTCTTCGCCACCATGATCACCAAGCGGCTTGCGCAGGTGAAGCTGCTCAACCGGGCGTGGCGGTGAAGGCGAGGCGGAGCTGGGCCTGCCGGGCCGCGCGGGAGAAGGCCAGGCAGAGGCACCCCGGCTGTGCCGATGGCTTCACGCACGCAGCTGGTTGCCCTCTGGAAGGCTCGACGGCTGCGGGGCATGGGGTTCCTTGTTCTTTTTTTGGCTGTCTCGTCGGAAAAGCAAAGTTTGAGTCTTCCGCAGAAAAATAGGAACTCCGGGGGTGACAATATTCTGTGAATCAGCCTTGTCCTTGTGAAACTTTTTCTCCATCCACACCTTGACTGAAACAGGCCTTTGGTTGTTAAAAAAGCGTTTGCAACATGGCAAATCTGCAAGTCGGTTTCTGTGCCTCTGGCTCCCCCGGAGCTGTTGCTGAGGGAGGAGATTGAGTTGCAAAGACGTTAGAAATAATGCTAAAAAAATAAGTAGGGCGACTCTTTAGGGAAGTTTGACAGATGAATGCTTGTGGAAATGGAGATTAAATCAGAGTAGATCATTTTGATCTGCAGTGACCTGGGGAAGAGAAGTAACTTCTATGTTTGTCTGCACTGAAAATGTTTCCCTTTTTAACTGTGTTTCCCTGTGGCCTAGACTTCATTATTTGGATCTTTCCTCTCTCCGTTACTGCAATTCCTGGGTGAAAAGATTTTATTTATATTACATTTCTTAGCACACATGACCGTTAGAATTTAAACATGCATCCGATGTTGGGGTTAATAGGAATACTTGAAGCTAAGCTTGAAAAAAAGCATTTGGAACTCTGAATGAAAATAGCGTCTTTGTGTACTATTTTGAGTCTTTTTTGTGTGTGTTGATTCTTTGAGGTTGGCATTCTGAGAACCTAAATTATGAGCTTTGTTGGTAATAATTTATTGCTGATTTAAATCTGGGCCCTGCAGTAAAGGAAAGTTGGAGATTGTTATCCTCATGTGGGAGGAGGGACAGGGCAAAGCTGGTGTTCCCACTGTGGAAACGCGTGTGCCACGGTTTCGTATTCATGTCAAGAGGAATGTTGAGTCGTTGGACAGAAGCATCTTGGATCAGTTTCACTGATAATAAACCAACACCGTTCGATCACGTTCGCTTTGATCAGCCGAACCGGTGCCTATTTTTTATTTACTCTGGACCCCCGATTTTATACACTTATTTATTTACAACATGTGCGTGCCTTCCAGTTGCACCACGGCAGCTCGGTGGCTTGGCCACCCTTTCCAAAATACAGGTGCCAAGCATCGTGGGAGGTTTACAAGGGAGAGGCGACCCCCTCCCCGCCCCCCCAGCCCAAGCGGGTTTCTCTCAAACACGCTAGTTGGAGAGAGGTGCAGTTCTGATAACGCGCCCCTTGCTGAAAGCCCTTTCAGACCCCGTGGGTCCAATGCTTCCCCACCGCCAAGGGCCTGGACCAGCAGCAGCCCCCCCCCCGGGACCCTTTAAGGATGCCCTGGCCGCCACGGGGACCCGCTGGGATGCGAAGAGCAGAGAGCCCATGTATACAGTGGCTGGGGAGCATGGGCCCGGTTGGCCACCGAGCGCCGGCCTGGATGGGCGGCTGGCCTTCGGGGCAGTTGGGCCGGGCCTCGCCTACCTCGCAGGGTCGTCGTGAGGAAAAGGGAGGGGGCGGGAGGAGCAGGGGGCGCAACGGCCACGCGGGTCCCCCGGGCGGAAGGGGCTCGCTCACTCTCGGACCGAGGAAAGGGGTCGATCCCCGCATCCAGCCGCTACGGCGGGAAGGGGAAATGCCCATCCGCCCGCGCGCGCGCGCACCTCCAAAAGTCTCGCCCGAATACGCGGACCCGTGTCCACAGACGAGGCGGCGCCTGCGGCGCATCGGCCCCGCCCCCTTGGCGCATCGGCCCCGCCCCCTTGGCGCATCGGCCCCGCCCGCCTCGGCTCGCCCCGCCCCGCGCCTGAAGAGAAAGCCGCTGAATCACATTGCGGGCGCAGGCGCACTGCGGCCGCGCGGCGCTTCCGCCGTCTCTGTGGTGAAGCCTCCGAGGAGCGGCGAGACGGGCCACTTCCGCTCCCTGCGCGACGCGGGGGCAAGGGAGGCGCGGCCCGCTTTCGACGGGCTGCATTCTGAACCCGCAGGAAGGGCGCGAGCTGCCTCAGCCCGCAAAGCCGCTCGGGGCGGCCCGGGGCTGTTCCCTCAGCGGGAAACCTCGGCGCTTCCCAGGGAGGCCGGCGAGGTCGCGCGCACGCCACTTCCGCCGCGACCCGGAAGCACTGCCCGCGAGGCTTTCGTTTCCTCGCCGCAGCAACTCGGACGCTTGGCCGGGGACCAGCGCCGAGGAGGCGGGCGGCGGCGCAAGATGGCGGCGGCGGGCGGCGGCGGCGGCGGCGGGGCTTCCCCGGGCGCGGCGGCCTCGGCGGCGCCGGAGCGGGAGCCCGGCTGGGAGGTGGCGGTGCGGCCGCTGCTCTCCGCCTCGTACACGGCTTTCGAGATGCGCGAGCTGCCGCAGCTGCTAGCTTCGGTCATCGAGAGGTAGGCGCGGGGGGCGCGCGGCTGCGCGGGTCCCTCGTGCAGGCACGAGCAGGGGGCGGGCGCCGGGTGCCTGGGGCCGAGTCCCCCCCCCCGGGCCGCCTGGCCAGCGGCGGGGGGGCCCGGCGGTTCTCCCCCCAAACCCCCCCGGGGGGGGGGCTCTGCCGGGGGAGCTTCCTCCAGGGGGAGGCGGAAAATACCCCCCAGAAGTGCTGAAGTGGGGCGCCCGGACGCCCGGCCGAGGGGGGCAGTGGTCGGCCGGGCAAGGGGTCGGGGTGCGAAGCGCCCCGCCTTCGGGGCAGTTGCTTTCTGACCCTTGTGCCCTCCAGGAATGCCAGAGGCAATTGGAGAGTCTCCTTTTCCCCCTAGAGCAACCAGTGGGTCTAATGGTGACCATCCGTACTGTTAACTTTTGCCGTTCTTGGTCTTTCTTCTGGAGGTTTGCTTTACCTTGGGTTTGCTTTATTTCTGTAGACAGAGAACATTCCCCTGATAGCGCTCTCAGATGAGTCAGACTCTATGCGGTGATGGATGGGAGAGGGAAGGGAGAGTGCCTGTTATGTTTCCATGAGTGTATTACTGACATGCTGACTGCATTTGAACCTGCAGTTTTCCTTATTCGAGTTTTTTTTTAGTCTACTGTTGAACTATACCTTGCTATTCAAGTTATTTCTCACGGTGTTTATTTTCAGATAACAGCTTGCAATCTTGCTGCACTTCAGAGCAGATGCATAGATTTTTGCTTTTTCCTTGCTCTCAGTTTTAGGAATAGTGTCAGTTTCTTCTGCAATGATTCTTTACTATGTTTTCACCTCAAACCCAAACTATTTTAGAGGTTTTCCTTTTATTTTGCTTAGAATGATTAAAGTTTGCTTGCTTGCTTTGTTTTCAAAAACAAACCAGAGCTGCTTAAATGCAACGTTACAAAGTATATTCCAGACTGAAAACAGCAGAAGTTAGCCTATGGCAAATGCTTCCCTAGCAGACCAAATTCTTCTCCGAATACTTTCCTTTGCTCTTTGTTTTTCATCTGCCTCTGTTGTGCAGCTCTCTGCTTTGAATCCTCTGTTCTGCATGGATGTGGAAACTTCACTCAGCCGCCCAGTGTGGTTTGCTTGTTCTGCTAAGCAGTATGTTAAACACTTCCAAAGCAGTGATGAAATGCTGCAGGGCATGAACAAAGCAAATGTAACAAGACCCATAGGGGCTGTGGAAAGGAAAAAGCCGTGTGCCGGGAGGGGGCATTGGACCAGCGCGCTATTTCTCTCAAAGGCATAACTCCTGTGAGCTTTGCTTATTTTTTTACAAAGCTCTCTTCCAAAGCTGTTTGGGATTACTGGCGTTTTGCACAACCCTTCCCACAGCCCCTCAGCATGTGCAGTGCAGGCTGCGCTGATGGACGTCGTAGTCAAAAATGAGTCGGGGCAACCGTTCCCTTCCCCTTGTGTTAACCGGGCTGGATTCTCTGGTGGTAGCGCTGGGAAGCTGGGGAAAACCGAAGTCTTTGGGGCACAATCAGCTTAACAATGTACCACAATTTTTCAGAAGGGTTTCAAGAGTTTTGCTGACTGGTTTTTGTTAGTGGGTGTCTAGTAATAAATATCAGGGTTGGGCTCATGACACTAAGTTCAGTGAACAATCGTGCGGTTCTTCATTAAAGGCTATTATGTCACTCGGTATTTAGCAGTTAGTGGATAAAAGAAGAAGGCCTTTGGTTAAGCTGTTGCCCAGGCTGTTCCTACAGTTCGGTTGGACTCTAGGAGAGGGAAGAACCCTGGACATCTTTACTACTCTCAGAACGGACTATTGTGAACATTAGTTTCAGGGAGGCGGAAGAGCCACGGTTTTTCAAGGCCTTTATGTTGATGCTGCTGAGGTCTGAATTAGTAGAGACCAAATAGGAAAGGTATAATAGGAAAATAGCAGAATAAAATGTGTCTGGCAACCATGAACAGGCAAATTCCATGCTAAGGGAAAAGCACTGAAAAATAAAGCTGCTCGTTTATAGTAGCCTCATATAAATCTATGTCGTGTTCCTGCGAGGAATACCGCCTCTATGGTTCCTGTTGTTTTATTTATAAAAGGACATTGCCCAGCTTGAAATACTGCGGAAAGGGGCAGCTAGGCTAAGGAGCTGGAGCAAAGAAGTGCTGCCTCATTTGGGACTAGTGCAGAGGAAAGTAGAGTAACTGGGGAGAGGAGAGAGTCGTGCGTGGGGTTGAGAACACGGGTAAGGAGAATGTCTTCCTCCTCAGTGGTAATACTGGCATGCACGGTGGTTACAGTGGTGAGAGGTTCAGGGCATAGTTACAACTATGAAATTCCTGGAGGAGGCTGTCTGGCTACCAGCCTTCCGGCTGTGGGCTCCCTCCTTCACGAGAGCTGGCCTGCCTGCAGACACGAGTTGCTGAGGAGCTGGGGCGGGCCTTCGTCCTGCACCCATCCTGCCCTGTGCACAGAGTGCTGGACTGGACTGGGCTGATCCAGCACAGCCCTTCTCTGCCGGCGTGAGGTGCTGCGATAGGCAACAGCAGCAATAGCTCGAGGAGGGAATTCGACAGATCCATGGGGTGAAAGCCATCAGGGGCTCCAGATCCTGCTGGCTTTGTGTTACCTTCGCAGCTGGAGGCGGTGTGTCCATAGCAGAGGAAGCCCTGGCCCTGGTCTGGTTGGAAGGGTTCTGCTAGGCACGTGGATGTCTGTTCTTTAAAAGCAGAATGCTGGACTAGAGAGTGCTTTGGCCAGAGCCGGGATGCGTGTCCTTGGTGTTCCTGCCTCAGTGCGGCTGAAGCCACGTGTTGCGGAAGGCCTAGGAGCATTTGGGCCATTCCCCGCTCCTGCCCCGTGTCTGGTCAAAACAGGCCTGGGTGGGCCTTGGATTGTGTAAACAGTCGCATGCCTGGAATGCATTGCTGAGGGAAATAGCACTGGTGGTCTTGCAGAATCCTCGGGCACCAGGAATCTGCTGGCGGTGGCAGCGGGAGACTCTGGGGTGGTGGTGGGGGGGGCGGGATTGCCTGGCTGCATTTTCCGCGGGATAACTCGGCAGAAGGATTTTGCTGATCTGGAGCACGGGATGCGGCTGATCTGGGGAAGGATCTTTCCTCCCCCGCCCTGGTCCACTGGGTCGGTCAGCCGCCAGTCTGTCCTGCTTCCCGTGCCGGGTTGTGTGCTGAGGGGGAATCTTTGGCCTTGGAAGCAGCGCACCCGCCTGGCACGCTTTGCTTGCCATCTGCGCGGCCCACCTCAGCCCCTCGGGGCCAGGCAAGTGGGCAGTCATGCCTTGGTGCAGGAAACGGGGGTGGGGGGGCGCGACGGACCTTTTGTGGTCTTGCAGAACCCTCTCCGGTGCGCTTTTCCAGTGGATGTGGGCTGCAAAGAAACACATTCCCACAAGCCTTGCTTTTTCTTGGGCACAGACCTGAGGACTGTTTTCTTAAAATTTGCACCCATCAGGCGGTGCAGAAAGTTTCCCTCTTTCCTTGCAAGAGCGCAAGCACTGGGAGCCTTTCAGACATCTTTTCCCAAACTGGGAAGTGATAAGCCCCAAATCATCGATGGGGACATTTGATCCCCTGAATGAAGAGCCGTCCCCAAGCCGTCCTGGAGAAAGCCGGGCTCGTGGTTTAAGGGACCAGAAACCTGCTTGACTGTTGTCCAGAGCACCATGTGATTTGACAGACGTTGCAACAACTGATCCTGTCTTTCTCCCGCTTTTTTAACTCCGCAGTGAGTCTGAAATCTTGCATCACGACAAACAATACGAACCTTTCTACTCGTCCTTCGTTGCGCTTGCAACACACTACATCACCTCCGTGTGCGGACTGGGTGAGTGCTCAGCCCAGTTGGGTGGCCGCTGTCGTAGCCGCAGAGTCTCAAAGGCCACTTTCCCGAGCCTGGTCCCTTCCTATTGCTATTAAGTGCCTTTATTTCGCTTCTCCACAAAATGCCGCTCTTGGTGTATTTTTTCCCCAGTCTGTAAAAGGAAGAATGTCCCCGCCTGCGGGCTTGCCATCCAAAAAGGACTGGTGCAGGTGGGGAGGGGAGGGTCAGGGCTGAGGTCCCAGTTGGCAAATGCAGGCACCGGTTCGTAAAGGCAGGAGAGCCATCCTGCCTGAGGATAGTGGGAATTGTAGTCTGTTACACCTGAAGGGTGCCAATTTGAGGAAGACTGCCATGGGAAGAAGGGGTATATGAGCTAGGAATGGGGCAAAATGGGGGTTTCTAGAGGTCTGCGAGCTGGAAGTGGAATTCCAAGGGAAGAGATAGCAGCAAAAATAAAAACTGATCCAAACTCTTAAGAAAGAACCAAAGACGGGCAAGGAGAATTTCAAAGGAAAATAAGTTCTGAAGTGCGGGAGAGGCAGGCTGCTAGTGCAGTGGGATGGAGACACAGAGGTGAGACTCGCAGCATGTTCTTTTGCTGAGCATCAGTTTGAATGATTTGCCCTCTTTGGCTTCCCAGTACCTAGAAATCAGCTGCAGTCCGTGGCTGCGGCTTGCAAGGTCCTGATTGAATTCTCCCTGCTGCGACTGGAAAATCCAGATGAAGCATGCGCCGTTTCCCAGGTGAGCACGTCGGTCCCTCCCCCATCCTGTCTGTGCGTGGCCAGAACCACCGCTTGTGGGGAACGTTTTCCGTATTTGTTTTTGAGGAAAGCGGGTCTGGGGGCTCGGTGCCCGGAGCTCTCTGGGTAGCTCACCATCACTGATTTTCCTCCTTCCCCAGTGCTGACTCTCCCTCTTTATGCTTCTTTCTTCGAGCTTGTCCTTCGCTGGGGAAAGGGGGGTTCTCACGGGCCTCGCAGTCATTTAAACCCTACTGAAAAATAGCACAGCGGGTGCTTTCTTCACCACTGCCGGTTTTTTCTCTGGATTCGTATGGCAGCTTTTAAATGCTGAAAGGCTGCATATTTTTGCCGTGTGGCGTTCTGCAGCTTTTACCTTTGGCGCAGACATGCGTCACATTGAAATGCGCTTACCGGCCTCCCAGCCAAGGCTTTCCCTGTCCTGTTCGTTTGACGCGCTGCTGCCCGTCTCTCCGCAGAAGCACCTGATTCTCCTGATCAAAGGCCTCTGCACCGGCTGCAGCCGCCTGGACAGGACCGAGATCATCACGTTCACGGCCATGATGAAGTCGGCCAAGCTGCCTCAGACCGTGAAGACCCTCTCTGATGGTGAGCCGCTTGCCGCTTGTGGCCCCGCTGCGGGCAGGGCTCCGCCGTGGCCAGGGGAGGGCCGCAGCGGCTTGGCCCCCGCGAGGGCTGACGTGTCCCTTCCCCCGGCAGTGGAGGACCAGAAGGAGCTGGCCTCTCCCGTCAGCCCCGAGCTGCGGCAGAAGGAGGTGCAGATGAACTTCCTCAACCAGCTGACCTCCGTCTTCAACCCAAGGGTGTCCGCATCTCCGGCCGCCCCACAGAGCCCGGTGAGTCAGCGGGGGTGTCCGGCGAAGGGGCCGAGAAGAGGTCGGCGCTTGGCACGCCCCGAGCTCCAGGTCTGGGCCTCGTCTTCCCAGTCTGGAGTCCCAGGGAGCGGAGGGTGCTGGCTGGACCGTGGCCAGCCTCTGCGTCCCTGGCTGCTCTGCATGGGGAGGGAATCACGGCTGATTGCCGGAGCCCCTGCTCAGAATGGCTGGGAAAGAAAGACCCTTCCGTGGAACTTGCTCTTGCCCAGCAGCTTGGTTGGGATCCGTTCGCTGTGGGTGTTGCTCTGGGCTGCAAAGCTTTGTAACGGATTCCAGGGGTTGCCACGATGGACAGTTTCATGGGGACTTCTGCCTCGCCTCTGGGAAGCTAGGATCCGGCAGGGCGGGGGGGGGGCGGTTCAGAGGGCTGCCGTCTGGGAGCTTTGTTGGCAGGGTTGCGAAACCTGCCCCTTGCCCCCTAAGCAGAGGCACCTGGGGTGGGATTTGCTGGTCCGAGCCTCTCCCTTTCCACCCCTGCCCCCTCCCGCCCGCAGGAGGAAGAGGGTGGTGGCGAGGCTCCCCGGCAGCGGCCTTGAGCCCTCGAGGGAAACGGGCTGCCAGCGCGGGAGAAGCGCTCAGCTTTGCCTATTGCCTGCTTGTGCTTCCAGGGAGAAGGCGAAAGCGACGACCAGGCGTCGGCGGAGAAGGCCTCCGCGGCCAGGACCAAGAGCATCTTCGTGGCGCAGAACGTGGCCAGCCTGCAGGAGCTGGGTAAGTGTGGGGCTGCCGTCGCTGGCCTTCCAGGCAGTGCTCGGAGCAAGCAGGACAGAGGGGTGGCTGCTTCCCGGCCGCAGCGGCCTCTTCCTGGTGGGGCGGGTCCCAGTGGGTGCCGAGTCCCCGTGGAGGCGCTGTTGGTGTCGCGGGAGGGGCAAGAGCGGGGGGCGGCAGTTCCGTCCCTCTCCTGCAAGCGGGCTGCCCGCTGTTGGGAGCAGGGCACTAGACTAGCCGGGCCCTCGGCCTGATCCCCGGAGCTGCTCGTCGCCCCTCACTCTCCCCACCTTCCGCTTCACAGGCGGCTCCGAAAAGCTGCTGCGCGTCTGCCTCAACCTCCCGTACTTCCTGCGCTACATCAACCGCTTCCAAGATGCCGTCTCCGCCAACGCCTTCTTCATCATGCCGGCCACCGTTGCCGATGCCACTGCAGTCCGTAACGGGTGAGCAGGGACGGAGAGGGCCCTTCTGCTGGGGCGCCCCTGCGGGTGCCGCTCCCCTCGGGGTGGGGGCACGGCAGGAAGCGCGCGGCCCCTCCGTGGCAGGCGCCTGGGGCTGAGCGCGTGCGTCTCCGTGGCAGGTTCCACTCGCTGGTGATCGACGTGACCATGGCGCTGGACACCCTCTCCCTCCCTGTGCTGGAGCCGCTCACGCCCACGCGGCTGCAGGACGTCGCTGTCCTGGCACTCAGCTGTCTCTACGCAGGTGAGCGTCTGCCCAGCACGAGCCGGCCGAGCCCCTGCGCACCAGGGTCGCTCCAGAGGGAGCTCCTGGTGTGGTTAACCCCGGCTTGTTGAACCGCGGCCTGTTGCGCGCCAACCCAGAGCAGCGCCATAACAGTGGGTTGTTGGCCACAGACGGAGCCCTTCCTTTGTTGGGTCTCACGGGGTGCCATTCCACACGAACCCAGAACCGTGGGTTGACTCGCTCGGCGGCAGAGGTGGCGGGCAGGAGTGGCCCGAAAGCCCAGCTTTTCCCGTGCCCGTGTGGGAGGGCTGCAGGGCCCCTTGGGCTGCAGGGGGGGAGTGGGGACCGAGCAGCCCAGGAACCGGCCAGCGCCCAGCAGCTTGCTTGAAATCCTGGGCAGAGCAGTGAGCTTGGCCTAATTCAAGCTGTGCCCTGGGTCTTCTGGTCTGCCAGGTCCTGGAGGGAAAGCGTGGGCTCATTTTCCATGCTCCAGCAAAGCAGTAGCATGCAGGAATAGGCTAGCCCCCCTCCCAATTCTTCTTTCAGTTCCCTTTAAGATTTGTAAGTTCCTTGGGGCAGGGGATTGTACTCCTCTGCTCTGTAAAGCACCATGTGGCGATGCCGCTCTGCAGACAAATGTTCCCAGCATTTAAGCCCTGTGATTAACGCAGCCCTTTAAAGCGTGCGGGCTTCATCCTGCTGCTGTTTCTTGTGGCCTCGGCATCCCTGCGAAGCGTCGCACTTCCCGGGGGTCTCCCGTTGCCTTGGCGGCTTCCTTGCAGATACAGCCGGGCCGGGCACGTCTCGGGGAGGCCCTGCCTGGCACTGAGCTCCTCTCTCCCCGCAGGCGTGAGCGTCGCGACCTGCATGGCCATCCTGCACGTGGGAACCACCCAGCAAGTCCGCACGGGGTCCACCAGCTCCAAAGAGGAAGACTACGAGAACGACGCCGCCACTATCGTGCAGAAGTGTGTAAGTGGGGTGAGGGGCTTGTGTGGGAAGGGGCTCCATCCATGACTCCTGCAGCCCAGAGGTGACAGGCGCACCCCCGCTTGCTTTCTGCGCCGGTTTCAGCTGCAGCCAAAGAAAGGGGCAAAAGCAGCAGCTGCAGCAACACAGCCCCAGAGCCTTCGAGAAGGGTTGCCCACAGCCGCTTTAGCGGAGGCTGAAGGACACGGTTTGAGCCTGCCGGGCCCATGGGCCTGGCAGCTGGCCCCTGGGTCTGCAGCCCTCTCCCTTGCTCTGTCCACAGCTCGAAATCTACGACATGATCGGCCTGGCCATCAGCAACTCACGCCGTGCGGGCGGGGAGGTAAGCGCGCTCCTTGGCTTGAGCGCTGTCTCAAAGCGTAGGAACCTCGGAAGAGGTTTGTGGGATTCCAGCGGGGGTCCGTCCGGCCCAGTCCAGTCCAGCCTGCCGTCCTTCCTGGTGTGGCCAGCCAGATGCCTTCGTGGGCAGTCCACACACGCAGACGTGCACCAGCAGCTCCCTCCGGCATTCCCGGCCACGGGCGCAGAGAGTCGGCTTGCCTGTGATCCTGGGGGTGTTGAGCAGCCACGGCTAGTCCTCTCTGAGTTAATTTAACGCCTCTGCAGTCCAGGCGGGCAGCCCTCAGCGGCTGGGGTTGCAGGATGCGGGGGTGACCGTGGACTCGGTGCGTGGGGTGGTTGCCAAATCCTGGATTGCCGTGTGGTGGGAACCCAGCTGCATGCACAAACCGTGGCTTGTTAGCCACAGGCGACTCACACGGATAGTGGCCCGACACGCTGTCTGTCTCTCCCCTTGTCTGGAATGGCAGCACTGCCAGAACTTTCAGCTGCTCGGCGCCTGGTGCCTCCTGAACAGCCTGTTCCTCGTCCTGAATCTCAGCCCCACGGCGCTGGCGGATAAGGGGAAGGAGAAGGACCCCCTGGCTGCCCTGCGGGTGCGGGATATCATCGCGCGGTCCAAAGAGGGAGGCGGCTCTCCCAAGCTCGGACCTGGAAAAGGGTAAGCGGGGCACCTGCAGCGGGGTGCGGCCAGGTGTTGTGACCCCCCCCCACCAGCTCACCCGCTTCACAGGGTTGTGGGGAGCAGGGGAACGGTGTTGGTCGTCTGGAGCCCCTTGCCCAAGAGATGAATGGCACAATTGGACCGCAGCCCAATGCCGGGGTTGTGGGAACTTGGACCCGGGGAGGCGCTGGCACTTCTGGGGTCCCATCTTGTCCCGCTGGAATTCCTTAGGAGACCATGGCTCTTTCCCTTTACTGACTCCTTTTGTACTGTCCGTGCAGACGAGGGCTGGGGTCCGAGGGGGCTGTGGCTCGCCAGCGTGTGTCCACAGCAGAGCTTTTTCGCTCCGAAGGTGCCGTTGTGCCTGCGTTGGCGAGCGATGGCTTTTTGTTTGCTTCCTCTCAAGAGGAGGGCTGCTCTTGCACTGCTGTTTAATGTATCCTGTGCTGATGGAACGCCTTAGACTTTAAGCTGTGCCACTTTCTCTCTCACGCGCCCTTTCCCTCAGGCATCAGGGCTTCGGTGTCTTGTCCGTGGTGCTGGCAAACCACGCCATCAAGCTTCTGACGTCCCTCTTCCAAGACCTGCAGGTGGAGGCCCTTCACAAGGTGCGTGTGTAGCTTTGCCCTTTAGTTTTTTGAGAGGGAAATATATCAAGCACATGGTCCTATGCATCTTTAAGGAGAAAGGCAGGCTTGGGAATTCTGGGAGATGCAGGGCCTTTTCTGGCCTAAATACGCCTGGGATTGTGACCTGAGCCGTTCTGGGTCTCGCCTTCCAGGGCTGGGAGACGGACGGCCCCCCCGCCGTGCTGAACGTGATGGCCCAGAACACGTCGATCCAGCGGATCCAGCGGCTGATTGAGTCGGTGCCCCTGACCAACCTGCTGCTGACCTTGCTGTCCACGTCCTACAGAAAGGTGGGTGTTGCTCTGCAGGCCGCCTCCGACCCGTCGTCCAACCGCAGGCCGGGCGACTCCGCTCTTTCTCGCCCTGACCCGTCCCACCATCAGCCCGGGGCCTGCCCTGCCTGGGCGCGTCGCCCCACAACCGGCATGGGTCCCTGCGTGCTAGAGCGGGGCAGCATGTCCCTCGGGGCCACGGGGGCCTGGTTTCCGCACCCTGAGGAGCCAGGTTCTGCAACCCGGGCCTTCCCCAGGCCGGCCCTTTCCAGGCGCGCTGGCCTACGGTCCCCACAGCCACCAGCTGGCAGGTGCCGTTCGCTCCCGCCTTTCCCCGCGAGCGAGTTCTGCAGGCCGCCTTCCGCGGCATCTGAGCTTTTAGCTGGTGGTGCTCCCAAGCGTCCACAGCCACGCTCCCCACCACCTCGAGGCACAGGCGCTTGGGGTTTCTGTGGCGACCTGCGGGTGGGCCTGACTTGCTCTCCTTCGGGCCTGCCCCCCAACCCGCAGGCCTGCGTGCTGCAGCGGCAGCGGAAGGGATCCATGAGCAGCGACGTGAGCGCCTCCACGGACTCCAACACCTACTACGAGGACGATTTCAGCAGCACTGAGGACAGCAGCCAAGGTGGGTGCCCAGGGGGGGGGGCCTCAGGGGGCACAGAACCGTCGGGGTTCACCCTTCATGTCTTTTCAGATTCGCTTGCAAATATGCCGGTGTGGGAAACGCAGCGCTGCCAGTGCACAACCAGAAGAGGGAATGTTTTGTTTTGCTTAGTGATTTACCGCTTTGTTTTATATATTCTTCTGTTTCAGTTCATCTATTCAAAAGTGTTGTTGTTTTAATTGCTCTTTTAAATACTGCAAGCCGTCCCGAGAGTTTTATATAATGGGATGGCATACAAAAACTTAATAACTAATAAATAAGAAATAAAGTGGGGAAAAGGAGTAAAGTAAACAATTTAGTTTGCTTTAGCCAGGGTGGGATAGTGGCAAATCCGTACAGGAATGAAACCCGAAGCCCAGCCCGGGAGCGGGGAGCAGATGTTGGAGCTGGGCCTGGCAGGGCTGTTCCTCTCCAGCCTCGCTCTGAGCAAGCCCTGCTCCCTTCGCAGATGACGACAGCGAGCCCATTCTTGGGCAGTGGTTTGAAGAGACTATCTCTCCGAGTAAAGAGAAGGCGGCGCCGCCCCCGCCCCCCCCACCGCCCCCCCTGGAGAGCTCCCCTCGTGTGAAGAGCCCCAACAAACAGGCCGCGGGGGAAAACGGGAACATCCTGGCTAGCCGCAAAGATCCGGAGCTGGTGCGTACGGTGAACTTGGGCGCTTTCCTTCGCGTGTGGTTGGGGGAGCTTAGTGTGCTTGAGAGAGCAACCTTGCGCGAGCGTCGTGTGCACAAACAGGACGCAGCGAGTGGCCCCTGCCTCTTGCCGCCTGCCCGGTGCTTCAGAGGCGATGGTGCCAAACTGTGGTTTGCAGCAACTCTTTCAGAAACCGAATCACGGGTTGCGTTTCCAAGCACGCAGCAGCAAGCCATGGTTTACAGACGCTTGTCTGCTCTTGCTCGGGATTGGGTTTCGTAATGTCTCCATTGTCCCTGTGGTGCTGCGGGGGGGCGTGTGTTTGTGTGTGTCTGGAGATGTGGAAGAGGCAGATGGAACAAACGATCCACACAAATACCTGTTGAGCAGGGAGGGTCTCGGAAGCAGGCGGGGGTGTGCCGTGTGGATGACAAGCCAGGGGCCAGCCGAGGAGCCGTCTCTCTGTCCCCTTCCGATTTGGGCTTTGCTGACCCGTGTGTCTTCCCCCGAATGCTCAGTTCTTGAACCTGGCGTCCAACATCCTCAACTTCATGACGTCCTCCATGCTGGGCTCCAGGAACAATTTCATCCGCAACTACGTGAGCGTCTCCCTGCTGGAGCAGCACATGGCCACGCTGGCCAGCATCATCAAAGAGGTGGACAAGGACGGCCTGAAAGGTCAGCGAGCCGCTTTGCAGGGGGTCGCAAACCCCTCTGGCCCCTCTGGCCCCCCGGCCGGCCGGCCCCCTTTGGCAGTGGGGGCTGCCCAGTGGGTGGCGCATGGGCAGGAGGCAGCGCTGTGTACAGACGGGGGTCGTTTTGCCGCCCCAGAAACAGCCACTGAAAAGACCCTCCCCCGGAGAAGAGGGGTGCAGGGCGGCCATCGCTGGCAGTGTCTCCCGGGCCTCTGGCTCTGAGTTAGGGTCCTTGCGTGGTGGCCCAGCGTTAGAACTAACCGGCGTCCGTTCACGCTGCCTCAGCCAGGGGGCCCAGTGTCGCCGCGGTGGGTTTTTGGCGAGGGCAGACTGGCTTACCGGGCACTGTGTTTCAGGCACCTCGGAGGAGGAGGAGTTTGCGGCCGCGCTGTACCACTTCAATCACTCCCTGGTGACCTCCGACCTGCAGTCCCCCGCCTTGCAAGTGAGTGGCCGGTCGCTCACACGGCTGGGCTTCGTTTGCCTAGGTGAAGCGGGGCCTGGCTGTGCAGGACGTCCGTGCCGAGGCCGTAGCAGCTCAGAGGTGGTGGGATGCAGTCGTGAAAACGCCTAAAGAGGAGAAGCCAGTTCCTCCAAAGCAGAGCTTACGACCTGCAGAATGTGTCGTTCGCATCCCGTCACAAGTTTCTCTGTGAGGGCTGTCGCAGGTTATACTTAAAAGCGATGCTTTAAAATACTTAAATGTTAGGCCTTTGCCAAAACAAGGACTCTACATTCGTGAAACTAGTGATGTTCAACGCTAGGTCCACCTGGCACCGTCGTTATATGCTTTTCTGCGCCAGGTCAAGACCTTATTATTTACCCAATATTTTAACGTTTAAAAATTTCAGTTAAGCTTTTATTGATAGATCCTCAGTTGCATTTTATCTTGTCATGGTTTGATGTATTTATTAGGTATTTATTGTATTGTAAGTCATCCAGAGATGACTTGTATTGGGCGGGGTAAAAATATCCAGATAAGTGGATAACTAGCAGTAGGGACTCAAGAAGTGGCGCATTCCCATCCTGAGTCTTTGCATTACTAAATTCTCTTGGTAAGTAGACAGCTGGGAGCGAAAGCGGCGTCACACCTGGAGTTGCAGCGAGGGTTCCTTCTGCACATTCCCCGGCGGCCTCTTACCTGTGTGCCTTCCCTTTTCCATTTTGCCAGAACACCCTCCTGCAGCAGCTGGGGGTGGCCCCCTTCTCCGAAGGGCCGTGGCCCCTCTACATTCACCCCCAGAGCTTGTCCGTGCTCTCCCGGCTTCTCCTCATCTGGCAGCACAAAGCCAGCTTCCAGGGGGACCCCGACGTGCCGGAATGCCTTAAAGTTTGGGAGAGGTAAGAGGGAGCCGGGCCTGATTAAAACGGTGGAACCCAAGAGGATGTCTTTCTCCAGAAAATGGCGGCCTTTTTTCAAGTTCTTCCTGCCAGCAGTGAAATGTTCGGAGAGGCGTTTCAGCCTTTCAGAATTGGGGTGTCGGGGGGAGTTCTGCCATCAAGGTTTTGAAGGCTGAGGGAAAGGGGTTGGGGCCAGGGGAGGGGAGGGGTGATAGGTCTGAGTTCGGGTGAATGACGTGACTCTCCTGGCCCTTGTTTGCCTCTCCAGACACTCATTTTGCAAGGCCTCACCCTGAGGGACAAGAATCTTCAGTGCAGTCAGTTACGGGGGGAACGGGGCCATCTTGGAAAACTGGGAGCTGACACTTGCTCTCCCCTCCCCTCCCCTCCCCTCCCTTTTGCCGGCAGGTTTGTGGGCACCCTGAAGCAGAACGCCTTGCAGGGGAGCCTTCCCAGCGACACGGAGGACCTGAACGTCGAGCAGCTGCAGCTGCTCCTGCTGATCTTCCACAGCTTCTCCGAGAAGGGCCGGCGGTCCATCCTGACCCTCTGCATCCAGACCATCCTGGAGCTGGCAGCCAACCTGGACTCGCAGCTGCGCTGCGTCCCCCTCCTGCTGGCCCGCCTCCTCTTGGTCTTCGACTACCTGCTGCACCAATATTCAAAGGTTCCCGTGTATTTATTTGAACAGGTGCGTGTGCGTGCGTCCCGCTGGCGCTGTGTCCCCAGGGCTCCTGAGGGCCGGGCTCCATTTTGGGGAAGCTCTTGGGGCCCAGGCGCATTCCAGAGTTCGGCAGGGCCAAAACGCCCATCTCCAAACCAGGGCAGTTAATTCCTTGCTGCAACACGCGAGGCCTTAGGAGAGCCGTGTCAGTCTTCTCGAAGCTTTCTAGAGTGAGGAAAATTTGGCATCAGCGCCAGGAGGCCCCAGAATTATCAGCTCCTTCCTGGCCCCGTTGGGTCATCTGCAGCGGCCCGACATGCCTGCAGTGCGGGGACCTCTCCTGTAGGGAAGGCAGCCAGCCAGCCTGTGCAGGCCGTCGGCCAATTTCTCCGCGTGTTCCGCAGGTGCAGTACAACCTCCTAACGCCCCCCATCGTCTGGGCCAGCGGCTCCCAGGACGGCAGCCGGCGCGGGGCTTCCCCGCTCTATCACGGCTTCAAGGAAGTGGAGGAGAACTGGACCAAGCACTGCTCCTCAGGTAGGCAGGGGCTGCTGCGCAGTCCTCAGCTGGTCGGGGGCACCAGGACCACTGCCGCTCCGTGCCCAGCCCTCGCCGGATGAGGTGGCATTGGCTGGCGGGGGGCAAGATTGCTTCTGGTGGCTCTCCTCGCTCCGTTCACCTGAGGCGTTTGACCGCAGCCCCGCGATTTTCTCCTCTTGCCCAGATGCGGTCCCTCAGCCGAGATTCTACTGCATTCTCTCTCCGGAAGCGTCCGAAGATGACCTGAACCGCCTCGATAGCACGGTACGGGAACCCTCTCCCTCCCCGCAGCCCACGCTCCCCTGGGCAAGGTGTTCCTCCTCGTGCCCAGCCGCTTCTGGGAGCTGGCTCAATTCAGGGACACCCTGCTCATCCTGCAGAACAAGACCCAAAAGCTGAGGAAGCGCCCTAAAAAGGAAATGTACGAAAGAGCTTTGGGGTCCCCGCAATGGAAAAAGCCAGAGCCTGCGCAGCAGCTTGGCACATACTCTGCCCGTCCTTCCTTCCCCTTCTTTGCCAGCCGGGTTGTATCGCGATGGGTGCTCCGGGAGGCGCCGGGCATGCGCAGGCGGTGCTGACTTGCCCGCTTCTCTTGCAGGTGTGCGAGGTCCTGTTCTCGAAGGCCACCAAATACGACGACCTGTACTCGGCCCTCACCTCCCTGCTGGCAGCTGGCTCCCAGCTGGACACGCTCCGCCGGAAGGAGAAGAAGAACGTGACTGCGCTGGTAGGTGGGCTCTGCCCGGGGGCCCCCGAGCCGGGCTTCTGTGCCGGACGCGCTCCGTGCGCAGGTCCGGCTGAGAATTGCAGGCCACTTCTGGCCGGGGAAAGCCGGGCGTCAGTGGGGCTTTCATCAGTTAGAGAAACGGGGCTGTGCATAGACTTCAATGTGTTTATAGTTTAACATAAAAAAAAAAATGTGGGGGCTGACCCAGTGGGTCTGATGTTTTTGATGATCGATGCTTCTTAGCTTCTTTTTGGCAGGTATATTAAGAATAAAACTTATTCACACACAAAAACAAAAACAAAAAAGAAAAGAAATGAATAGGCCTTGGGACTTCAGTGGGTTGTGGATATCCTAAGGCCACTCATTTCAGTGGGTCTGATATCGATAAGGCTTCCATGGGATTTGTTAGTTACCCTTCCATTAACTTTCCTTATCTCTCAGTGGCTGAAGATCTCTGTGCGTTTTGCAAAGATTAAAAATGCATTATAGAAATAATGTGCATACTAGAATACGGCGCATAACCACATACGTACCTGAAACAATTTTAAATACGTTATATTGCTCTTAATTGTGCCGTTGGTGAAATCTAAAGATTAAATTCCAGATTACTGTAAAAAGTTTGTGTTTTGAAGCCTGTAAATTCCTGGAGGCTTTAATTCTGTGCTGAGCTGGGGCTCCGTTGGGCCGAAAGGCAAAGCGTGTGTTTGTGGATTGTAAAGTGGCTCAACAATCGGCCCAGCGCTGGCTGCTGGGGCTCTGGGCAGTGAGCAGGCCCGGCTGCGGAGCCCTTCCGGCTGTCCGCGACGGCGTGCGGTAACGACTCTTTCCTCCTCGGCTGCCTAGGAGGCCTGCGCACTCCAGTATTACTTCCTGATCCTCTGGCGGATCCTGGGGATCCTGCCCCCCTCCAAGAGCTACATGAACCAGCTGGCCATGAGCAGCCCGGAGATGACCGAGTGCGACATCCTGCACACGCTGCGCTGGTCTTCCCGCCTGCGCATCCCCGCGTACGTCACCTGGATCAAGGTGCGCTTGCTGTGCCGGCCTGCAGAGCCCGGGGCGGGGAGAGGGGCAGGCCGGGCGGAGCGGTCCCGGTCCCTCTGCTCGGCCGCCGGGCATGGGGCCAGAGCACGGGCACCGACCCGGCCATGGGGCCACGGTCTGGCGGCCGGCTGGCGTCGCCTCCTTTCCGACCCTCCCTCCCGCCCCTCGCTAGGAGCACCTGGTCAAGCAGGGCATGAGAGCCGAGCAGGCCGCGTCCCTCGTCGAGCTGACCTGCTCCAGGTGCAGCTCCGTGAAGTACGACGTGGAGATCGCGGAGGAGTACTTTGCCCGGCAGGTCGGTTGACGCCCCGCGGATGCCCGGGCGTGGTTCAGTCTGCGGCTCGGGGGCTGTGCAAGGAGCGGGCTGTGAGGCAGCCTCCTGAACTGTCCACGCGAGTCCGGCGATGTGCGTTTGTCCGAGTAGCCGCGACACCTCGCAAGAGGCTGGGACACGGGCAGGCTCTGGAGAGGGTCCCGTGCCAGCAAAGAAGAGCCCTGCCGCTCCCCGCACGGTCCAGCCCTGCCTGGGACCCCTCGGGCGCTCTGGCCGGCACCTTCCGTCGGCCCCAGTCAGGGGTCAGGAGCAGCGGGACGCACGGGGCAGAGCGCCTGGGGAGGGGGCCGGGTGGGCAGGCGGGGCTTCGAGCCCCGCTTCAGGCGTGCTTCGGCCCACGGCTTCCGTGCTTCCAGCCCATTGGCTGTGCCGGCCGGGGCCGATGGGAGCGGCAGGTGCCAGCACCAGGGAGGTCCTGTGCTGCTCGGCCCCGCGCTGGAACGGCGGGAGGCCCGGCGTTCCAGGCCCGCCTGTGCGGCGAAGCGCGTTTGGCTCCGGCCAGTTCTCTCCGCCCGACGGCCGCCCGGAGTGCGTGGCTCTGGGGAGGGCGCGGGAGAACCCCCTGCAAGCCCCCCGGAGCCGAAGGGACTGTCTGGGCAGCCGCCGCCACCCTCTCCCCACAGATCTCCTCCTTCTGTGGCATCGACTGCACCACGATCCTCCAGCTGCATGAGATCCCCAGCCTGCAGTCCATCTACACCTTGGATGCGGCCGTCTCCAAGGTCCAGGTCTCCCTCGACGAATTCTTCTCCAAGCTGGCCGCCGAGACGGACCCGCACAAGTCCTCCGAGGTCACCAAGAACCTGCTGCCTGCCACCCTGCAGCTGATCGACACCTACGCCTCCTTCACCAGGTGGGCTGCGCGCTCGGTTCTGGGAGGCTGCGGGCCGGCCCGGCCCAGGCCGGGAACCCCGGCCGAGGAGTCCGTCTGGAACGCGTGTCCTTCCCTCTGTCCCGACTCAGGTCTTACTTGCTGCAGAGCCTCTCCGAGGAGGGCTCCCCCGAGAACAAGCCAACGGCCGAGAAGCTGCGGGGCTATGCTGCCGTCCTGGCCATCGGCTCCGGCCGGTGCAAGGCCAACACGCTGGGTGAGCCGCCTGCCCCCTCCTTCCCTGGGTGGGGTGGCTCTGTCGCTGTGCTCGTCCGCCCCTCGGCGTGGGGAGGCGGGCGAGCCAGGCCGGGGCCCGGAGGCCGGGGTGCCTGGCCTGGGGGAGGGGTCCGGCCCTGCCTTGGGAAGCCCATGGAGCGGGGCGAGGAGGGGGCTCGGCTTTGCGTGAGGATCCTGTCGGCCGGTCCCACACTCTGTCCTGAGAAGGCCCAAGCAGCGGTCCACCCCCAGCGCCTCCCCCTGAAAGGCCTGCTAGCTTCTGGGCCGGTACTGGGGAGACTGGGCTGAACCAGCTGGAGTGACGGCTGGAGGGAGGGGCTGTGCTGGGTGGACTGGGAGAGCAGTGGGTAACGGTCCCGGCTCGGCTTCCACCTCCGGCTGCCCCCGAAGCGCACCCTGAGCGTGCGACGGTTTCCCCCTGGTCCGCAGGGCCGGCTCTGGTCCAGAACTTGCCTTCATCCGTGCAGTCGCTCTGTGAATCCTGGAACGGCATCCACACCAACGAGTTCCCAAACATCGGCTCATGGGTGAGTCTGCCCACGAGAGCGCCTGAGAAAGGGGGTGCGGCTCGGCTGTGAGGCGGGGCGGCCAGTGGGGCCCCCCTCCCTCTCTGCTGGTGCCCCTGCCTCTGAAAAAGAAGGCGTAACTCACCTTCTGTGGTCGGATTGCATTTTTCCTATGGGGCAGGTTGCTTGAATTTCAGTTGGTTGCCATCCTGGGCATAAACCTTGGATGGACAGCACAGAAATACCTGAAGTGACTGAACTGTTCCTTGTCTCCCCCCGCTAACCGCGCCTCCCCCTGGGCCCACGTGCAGCGGAACGCCTTTGCGAACGACACGATCCCCGCCGAGAGCTACATCAGTGCGGTGCAGGCGGCCCACCTGGGCACCCTCTGCAGCCAGAGCCTCCCCCTCGCGGCCTCCCTCAAGCGGACGCTGCTCTCCTTGGTCCGGCTGACCGGGGACCTCATTGTGTAAGTTCTGCGGCGCGGGCACCCGCGGGCCTGTCCCCAGGCAGAGCCCCCTCCTCAGCCGTGTCCCCTCCCCAGGTGGTCGGACGAGCTGAACCCGCCGCAGGCGACCCGGGCCCTGCTGCCCCTCCTCCTGGAGACCAGCACGGAGAGCGTGGCCGAGATCAGCGGCAACTCCCTCGAGCGGATCCTGGGCCCGGCCGAGTCCGACGAGTTCCTCTCCCGCGTCTACGAGAAGCTCATCATGGGCTGCTACAACATTCTGGCTGATCACTCCGACCCCAGCAGGTGGGTCCCCCGCAGCCCCACCTCCCCCGCCACAGAGCCCCTGCAGGCCTGGGCCAGCCTCGGCCAAGCCGGGCTCCAGGCAGGGCTCGGCTCCTGCGCTCTCTCTCTCGGCCCGCACGCCCCCCCCCCCCCCCCCGTGCCCGCACCTTCCTTCTCTCCCCATCCTTTCACTGCCCTCTGCTGGACCCACGGGCCCTGCTGATCTCCCCCCCCCCCTGCCCCTTGCATGGGATTTGCTTTCAACGGCGGCACTTCGTGGGCTCAGTTCTTGGTGGTGTGGCTTTGTTCTGTTTTTTAAAGAAAACGTGGTCTAGCACGTTGGTGTTTGGACGGTGCTTTGGTTGCTGGGCGGGAGAGCTAAGCTGAGCAAAGCTTCCGTCCCTCTCAGCATCTCCCATCATCCCCCAGCCAGTGGGGGCTGCCCTCCCGCTCCTCCTCAGTTGCTTCGGAACCCGGTCCTTGCCCGTCGACTTAGCCCGCCTTTAGGGAACAGTCACAGCCCTGGGATCGACGACGGGTGCTGTCATTTTCTAGTGGCCTGGATGAAGCCATCCTGGAGGAGTGCCTGCAGCATCTGGAGAAGCAGCTGGAGAGCAGCCAGGCCCGGAAAGCCATGGAAGAGTTCTTCTCGGAGAGGTGAGCCGTGCGCTGGGCCTGCCCCGGGCCTCCCCGCTGGGCTGCTCGGGGGGGGGGGGGGCCCTCCAGCTTCGGCTCACCGTGTCTCCCTTGACATTTCTCTCGGCCAGCGGGGAGCTGGTCCAGATCATGATGGTGACGGCCAACGAAAGCCTCTCGGCCAAGTTCTGCAACAGAGTCCTGCGGTTCTTCACCAAGCTCTTCCAGCTGAGTGAGTGCTCGCGCTCCCCGTCGCCCCCGTGCCCAGCGCGTCGGCTGCGGATGAAGCAAGCGGTGCCGTTATGTGCGGCGCTGGCGCCTCTTCCCTCACCGAAGCCGAGCGGGGTGTTTATTTAACACTTCTGATGCCTGGGGGCTTCTCTCACTGAGGCTGCTGGAAGGAGCAAGGGGGGGCCTTTCCCCAGCAAGAAACTTTCCTGTCGTTCATTTTTCCACTTGGTTCCTTTTGGCCGCCTCGACGGGTGGAACCAAGCGTTCCTGCCACCCCTCCCTGCTGTAGCTTTCCTCATGCGTCCCCAGCCTCTTTCCCTGGGGGTGGTCCCCCTCCCACCCCACTCCAGGCAGCTCCCTCTGCTGCCCTGAGTCCTCAGCGGTGGGGGGGGCTCTTTGCCCCAGCAGGTCACCCAGTGCTTCCCTGGTGTTTGCGCAGTTGTTTCTTCCACTCTGGAGGATGGTAGTGCCTCTCTGGGGGCTGACAGGCAAAACCCCCAGGAGCCTCTCCAGAGTGCCGGAAAAGTTGCACGGGATGCTCAGCCTCGATCTCCTGCCCTCGTGGGGCCGGAAGAAGCGCGTGCGGGGCAGTTTGCATCATCCTGCCTGGAGCCCGGCTTTCCCTGGCCCAGTGCGGGGTGGTCTCGGCCTCGGTGCCCTCCGTTGCAGCCCCCGAGGCGCACCGTCCTCGCGGTCAGCCTGAGAGGACCCCGGTGCCACCTCCTGCTCTCTTCCCGGCCCCTCCAGCGGAGAAGAGCCCCAACCCCAGCCTCCTGCGCCTGTGCGGCTCCCTGGCCCAGCTGGCCTGCGTGGACCCCCTGCGCCTGCAGGCCTGGCTGACCCGGATGACCACCTCGCCCCCGAAGGAGTCCGACCAGCTGGAGGTGGTGCAGGAGAACCGGCAGCTGCTGCAGCTGCTCACCACCTACATCGTCCGTGAGAACAGGTGGGGGCCGGCCGGCCGGCCGGCTGGGCGGCCTGGGAGCGCCGGGGTGGGGGGCCGGGCGGCCCGGGAGGGGACGCGACCGGGCGGAGACACCCCGGCCCGCCGGGTGCGGCGAGCAGCGCGGTCTGACCAGCCCCTCTGCCCCCAGCCAAGTCGGAGAAGGCGCCTGCACTGTCCTGCTGGGCACGCTGATCCCCACGGCCACGGAGATGCTGGCGAACGGCGACGGGGCCGGCTTCCCCGAGCTCATGGTCGTCATGGCCACCCTGGCCAGCGCCGGGCAAGGGGCCGGGCACCTCCAGCTCCACAGCGCCGCGGCCGAGTGGCTGGGCCGATGGTAAGGAGCCGGGCCCGTCTTGGCGCCGAGGCGGCGGGGGTGGGGTGCGCTCGTCGCCGGGGGAGGCGGTGCCCTTCCCGGCTGCCCCACACTGCCCCCTCTCGCCCCCCAGCAAGAAATACCTGTCTCAGAAGAACGTCCTTGAGAAAATGAACGCAAACGTCATGCACGGCAAGGTGAGTCCGGCGGCGGGGGCCCCTCTCGGTCCTGGGGGAGGGCAGGCGGCTGGGGGCCCGCAGTGGCCAGAGGAAGCCCCACGGCCCCCCACTGGCGCCGGGCAGAGGCTCGGGGCCCGCCTGAGCACGAGGGAGAGCTGTGAGCGCCACTGCAGGCCCCCGGCCCCCGCGCACGGCTGCTGGCCAGGCAAGCCGTGTGCGACTGGCCTCTGGAGGGCCTCGTGGGATCGCCTGTCCTGCGCCCGAGGAACCCTGGCGGGGCCCCCACGGCTTGACTGGCCCCCTGCCGGGGTTCTCCCCTCCCCCCCCACAGCACGTGACCCTCCTGGAGTGTACGTGCCACATCGTCTCCTACCTGGCCGACGTCACCAACGCGCTGAGCCAGTCGGGCGGCCAGGGCCCCAGCCACCTGTCGGTCGACGGGGAGGAGCGCGCCATCGAGGTGGACTCGGACTGGGTGGAGGAGCTGGCCGTGGAGGAGGAGGACTCGCAGGCGGAGGACTCGGTGGGTGCCTCACCAGATCCGGGCTGGGGCGGGGGCCGGGGCCGCGATGGGAGGGATGGGATGCGACTCTATTCATTTGAAACTTTTCTATGCCGTCCCGTCACAGACATCTCAGGACGGTCTACAACACAGTTTGCAGATTTTGCTTCGTTTTACTTTACCTTATTTTATTTCTTAACGTCAAAAAATAAGGCCAGCATGCTGCACTGTAAAAATCTCTCCTGCAGCACAGGGGAGCTTTGGGTTTTGGAGGTCGGGACCCTCCCCAGCCCTGGACAGGTTGCCCTGCACTGCGTCTCACAGGTCGCCCTTCTGGCGCAGGAATGTTCTGCGCTTGGCTGCGCCCACTGCGGCCTCTGCCATTTTGTGAGACCGTGGCCTGCCCTGTAGCCCGTTCAAGTTCCAGCTGTCCCAGCAGCCCCCAAATTTTGCCACAGCGTGCGGCGTCTGCCACGGAGAAGGTGCTCAGTCGGCTCTCCAGCTGAAAGGACCCCTTTGTGTGTGTGTGTTTGTTCGTGCAGGATGAGGACTCCCTCTGCAACAAGCTTTGCACCTTCACCATCACCCAGAAGGAGTTCATGAACCAGCACTGGTGAGCCACGCCGGCTCTTCCGCGCAGCCGGACCCGCCCTGGGCCCCTCGGTGGCATCCGCAGGGCCCCGCGCTCTGCCGGGCGCCCCGCGGGTCTCCTGATGCAGCGTACCTTTCCTGCAGGTACCATTGCCACACCTGCAAGATGGTCGACGGTGTCGGAGTTTGCACCGTGTGCGCCAAGGTCTGCCACAAGGACCACGAGATCTCCTACGCCAAGTACGGCTCCTTCTTCTGCGACTGTGGCGCGAAGGAGGACGGCAGCTGCCTGGTGAGAGGCTGCCAGCTGAGCGGGCATGCCTGAGCTTGGGTTGGGCCCCGATTTGAGCCAGGCCCCCTGCGTAGCGGGAGGAGACCCCTGGAAATGCTGCATCGGTGGCTGGGAGGGCGTGCGGAATGGGGCCAGCAGGGAGGGAAGGACCCCGGAGCTGGGCAGAGACCCAGGACGGCGGCCCGGCTGCTGTAGAAGGCCCCTTTCCCTCGCGGGAAGCCTCTGCGTGAAGGAGCCCAGCGCCTCCCAAGCCGCCACGGGACAGCTCAGGCCGCCCTTGGCACTCGCCCCCCATGGCCTCTCTGGAGGGTGAGCATCCCGGTGATTCCAGCCCGGCACGGAGGCGTGGGGGTGCCCCTCAGCTCCACCCGGGGGCTTCTGGGAGCCCCACGCCCGGCATGACGCGCTGCTTCTGCCCCCCGAGGCCCTGGTGAAGAGGACGCCCAGCAGCGGCATCAGCTCCACCATGAAGGAGTCGGCCTTCCAGAGCGAGCCCCGCGTCCCCGAGAGCGTCGTCCGGCACTCCAGCCCCTCGCCCACCGACAAGGCCAAGGCCTCCGTCAGCGAGGGCCGGGGGCCCGAGGAGGAGAAGCCCAAGAAGAGCAGCCTGTGCCGGAACGTGGAGGGCTGCCGGGAGCAGCTGCAGGCCCAGGTGTGCCCCCGGCCCAGGGGCCCCGCTTGTGGGGGGGGCCCGATGCCCCCGGCACAGCTCCCAATCCGTCCGTCCGCCCTTCCTGGGATACCCGTCTGGTCATCCAGCGTGCCCCAGGTGGCCCCTCTCCACCACCGACCGGTCCTCTGTGGTCTCCTGCCTTCAGAGCGGTTTCCCCCCACCCCTGGGTGCCTTGGGTTCCCCCCCCCCCCCGCCGTGGGAGTTTTGGCCCCCGGGCTGAGGCTCCTCGCCACTCCGCTTCCGCGCAGGCCAACTTCTCCTTCGCCCCCCTCGTGCTGGACATGCTGAACTTCCTGCTGGAGGCCATCCAGGTCAACTTCCAGCAGGCCTCGGCCATGGGCAGCAGCACCCGGGCCCAGCAGGCCCTCAGCGAGCTGCACACGCTGGACAAGGCGGTGGAGATGACGGACCAGCTGATGGTGAGCGCCATGCGTGTTTGGGGGGGGGGTCAGCCTCCTCCCTCCCTCCCTCCCTCCCTGTGAGGTCCACAACATTGGACTTTCGAGCAAGTGGCCGGGGAACAGCTGTAGGAGGAAACATGCGGACGCTGCTGGATAGATGTTGGGAATGGGGCAGTTCAACCGGCGCGAGCCCTCCTGGGCCCACTGCCTGCTCCACACTCCCTCTCTCCTCCCCAAGCCCTTCCGGGGAGGGTCTCTGGGTCCAGCCCCTCCAACCTACCCAGAGCGTCAGGCCCAGCGGGGAGTCGGACACGGCCGGCTGGGTCTGCAGAAGAAGGAAGCAGAGTGGCGGTGAAGGGCCTGGGGGACGTTACCGGCAGAGCCGCTCCGACACGGCCCTCCCTCGTCCCCCCACCCCGACCCACCCCGACCTCCACACTCTCTCCCTGGCCCAGGTGCCGACGCTGGGCTCCCAGGAAGGGGCTTTCGAGAACGTCCGCATGAACTACAGCGGCGACCAGGGCCAAACCATCCGGCAGCTGATCAGCGCCCACGTCCTGCGGCGCGTGGCCATGTGCGTGCTCTCCTCCCCCCACGGCCGCCGCCAGCATCTGGCCGTCAGCCACGAGAAGGGCAAGGTGAGCCGGGGGCTGCGCCGCGGAGTCCGGGGCGCTTCAGGCCGCTCCCGTGGGTGGGACCCTGCCGCTGGCCTGCCCGGGAATCGCAGCCCGAGGCTTTCGTCCCCGCCTCGGGGGCCGCGTGGCCAGTAGCCGGCTGTGCATTTCGACACGGGCTGCTAGGACACAGGCCACGCGCGTGCAAGGAAAAGTGTCCAGGCAGTCAGCTGCCGCGATTTGCACACACTGGTCCGAGGGCGGCTCGGGCCACGGCAGGTCAGGCCCTTCCTTTTCTGCGTTGAAGGACCGGGCCACCTGCTCTCCTGGCCCGGACCCCGTGGCCCAGGCAAATCCGTGTCCCGTCCGAGCGCCGCGGCGTTACTTCCCCTCCGGCGGAGAGAAGCGCCAGCGCAGCTTCACCCTTCGCTTTTCTTCCTGTCCGCGCAGATCACTGTGTTGCAACTCTCCGCCTTGCTCAAGCAAGCGGATTCCAGCAAGCGGAAGCTGACCCTCACCCGCCTGGCGTCCGCCCCGGTGCCCTTCACCGTGCTGAGCCTCACGGGGAACCCCTGCAAGGAGGACTACCTGGCTGTCTGCGGGCTGAAGGTAGGGACGCCGCCAGCCTCGGGGCCTGGAAACGTGCCAGGGAACGCGCGGCGGCCTCGCTGGGCTCTTCGCAGCCGTTTTCCCCATCGCCGCTCAGAGGGCTCTAACCGCCCGGACGGCTCCCTAGACGCGCCGCTGGAACCTCCCCTCCCATCACTTGAGCTCAGGAGAGCGTTGCAAACAGACGCGGAGCCCACGACTCTCGGCCCGCCTCTGCAGCGCGGCCCTTCCTGCGGGGTCTGAGATGGGCTGCCCCGTCTCTCCCCGTCGCCTCCTCCCCGGCCCTCTGTGCTGTCTGCTGTTCAGGCGAAGCACACCCCGTTCCGTCGACATCTCCTTGTGGGACCGGCTTCCTTTGCAGATGTTAATCTGCAGGCGATTTATGTGTGGGTGTGTCATCATTGCGGCTGCGTCCTTTCATTCCCCCCATCCGTGGGGCTCACTGCCCCGAGGGGCACGATTGGGAGGGCTTAAAGTGGGGCTCGGGAGCGTCGTCGGAGGTCGAAGCTGCTGGCTCCTCTGCCCAGAGGGTTGCCCACCACTTCTGGGCTCGGGGGCCGTGTCCCTGCGAATGCCACTTGTGTGGAAGAGCAGCTTAGTCCCTGGGTCCATGGAGCTGGGGAAAGGGGGGAGTGGGGGGGGGCGGAACGGAGGGGCCAGAAATGGTGCCTGGTGTGGAGAAGGTAGACAGGCCAGCTTTTTTCCTTCTCTCCCCTCCTGCCCTGGCCACCAGCTTGGACGGCTCTAGCGGGGGAACGGGCAGGTTCATGGGGGGTGAGCGCGGTGTGCCTGGGTACTCTGGTTGCCGGAGAACATGGACGGGAGGGCGAGGCTGCCCGGCCCTGGCCCTGGCCCTGGCCCGGGCCCCGCGGCTCTCCTGGCGCTTCCCTGAGGCCGGCCGGGACGTGCCTGCCCACGCGCGCCACCCTCTCTCCGCAGGACTGCCACGTCCTCACCTTCAGCAGCTCCGGCTCAGTCTCCGACCACCTGGTGCTCCACCCCCAGCTCGCCACGGGCAACTTCATCATCAAGGCCGTGTGGCTGCCGGGGTCACAGACGGAGCTGGCCATCGTCACGGCGGACTTCGTGAAGGTGCAGCCGGGCGGGAGGCCTGGGGGAGAGGGGTGCCGGGCTGGCGGGGCCGCCTGCTCAGGTCGCCGGCTGCACGGCTCCCCACTGAGCCGCTTCCTCCCCCTCTTCTGCGGCCACAGATTTATGACCTCTCCGTGGACGCCCTGAGCCCAACGTTCTACTTCCTGCTGCCGAGCTCCAAGATCCGGGACATCACCTTCCTCTTCAACGAGGAGGGCAAGAACATCGTCGTCATCATGTCCTCGGCCGGCTACATCTACACGCAGCTCATGGAGGAGGCCAGCAGCGCCAAGCACGGGCCCTTCTACGTCACCAGCGTCCTCGAAATCGCCCACGAGGACCTGAAGGTGAGGCCGCCTGGAGGCGCGGCTGGTGGCACGGCACGAAAGCCAGGCCCTCTCTCCTCGTGGCTCCCTGCCCTCGTTCCACTGCTTTTGAGGGAAGGCTTGGACCCGCCTGGGCAGGACTGAGCTGGTCGGCCCCAGCTAAGCCTGGGCTCTTGCACCCTGGAGGGGTCTTGTCTCCGAATGCCGCCCCAACCGGAATGGCCGCCTCCACGTCATTCCTGCAGTC